ACTAAGGAGTAATTTCTACTCCCTATTAGAGAAAAATGCATTGTTTAATCTCAAGCTCTTTGGAAAGTGCCCCTTTTACTTTGAACAATAAAAAGTGTATTTTTTACCCTCAAACTTTTCGATAATTGAACGATTTACCCCTGAATAATAAAAAGTGTATCAAATAATCTTGAATAATTTAAAATACTGCATCGTTGGTCCTAAAATGCTAGATAGGTTGTTGCTCCCACGCACGGGAATTACGAGTATGATTCATCTGGCTCTTGTGAATTTTCCAAATCGCCCTTCCCCAGAATTATCGTCTTTATTTAAATGTTCAGAAGTAAATTGTGCAATCTTCGAAGAGTTCAGGGTATTTGATGCACTTTTTAATGTTAAGGGGTAAAGCGTGCAATTTTTGAAGAATCCAGGAGTATTTGGTGCACCTTTTAATATTTGGGAGTAAACCGTGTAATTTCCTGAGAATTCGGGAATAAACAGTGCACTTTTCTTGTTTCGATTATGAATCTTCCATAAAAGAATTGGACCTTTTGTAAAACATAAAATATCTTTATGCAAACCCATGAAAAATGTTAGAAAGTCCACATTTTAAATGTGGACATTAAGACCATACAAGCGTCACTCTATGTTTTATCTTATTTGATTAAATCTAGTCATTTTTTTTAAAAAATATGGTCTAATTGAATCTGATTTGATCTAATAAGATTATATATGTAACATTTGATCTAATTAGATTTGATTTGATCTATTTTGATCTAATTTGAGTGTGTCCTATCTGATCTAATTCGAATAGATCTTATTTGATTTCATCCAAATAAAAACTAAAATTATGATATAACTCACCCCCTACACCCCCCACCGCACCTCCACTACAGTCCCACCCTCGTACCCCACTCTAAACCCCCCCTTTTACCCCTCCAAATGTGTGACTACTATGCAATACATAATATCCACCACATTTGGAGAGGGTAAAAAGGGGGTCTAGGATGGGGGTGCGGTGGTGGGACTAAAGTGGGGTTTAGGGGGTGGGTTAGAGCCTAGAGGGTAAGAACTATTAATTTTAGGAACTGAGCATTGGAGGTGTTCAAATTTGTAATGCCCCAAAATATACCCTAAAATTTATTGAATTAAATATTCAATTAAACAAAATTTGTTTTGATTAAAATAAATTATTATTGGGCTTTGGGCCGATGTAAAATATATTTTGATATCCAATATCAAAATCTGAATAAGTCTCATAGAGATATATACAACATGTTGATTTATTGTGTGATCTTAAATGGGAATCTGTGTACAGATCCAAATTAAGAATAAATGAAGAATTTGTTATGATATGAACTTTGAAATGATTTATTGAAATAAATCATGAAAATAAGTTATATGAATTAAATGTAAGAACCTTTTTGAATAAAGGTCAACTAAACCAATTTTTAACTCTGTCAAAGTCAAACACCCAAAAATATTATGACGGAAAAAGTATTACAAATAAATGTAAAAATTATGTCGTTGGTTAGAGTTTAACTGTCTGATCACAACGGTGTAACCGGATTTCAATTCGGAGAAAGTTGGACTAAAAAGTATTCCCCGACTAGGACCAAAATTAGTCCCAATCAGGGACTTGCGTTAAGAATCGTGAAGATCGCAGCCCTTCCCAATGAGAAGCTGAAATAAGGATGAATACATCACAAGCTTGGCTTCTTCTCCATTTCTCTCTTATATAAATCACCTTCACTCTCTTCATTCTTCACCAAAACTTAATAAGTTTATTACCATTCTGTTCTTGAGAGTGAAAGGAGTGCATTGGTGCTGTCAATTTGTTATGAGGCCGTCGGACCTAACCACAAACCTCGCCGGAAGTTTCGTCAGAAAATTTCCAAAACCTCCATTAAACTTCGAGGTAAGCCCGTAGATATATCTAATAACTAGAATGTTCATATAGGTCGTTTCTGCGTTCATAAATGGTCATTTGGTTGAGTTTTGTGTTTAACATGTTTGAAGAACTAAGAATCATAAACCTTGAATTTGATGTTAAAAACATGATTTAATGATTCTAAAATAATCTATGAACCTTGGAGAACATTTCTATATAATTTAATTAAAGTTCGGTACCTAAAAATGGTATTCCCGAAAAATGGACCGAAGGTTGAAGAAGATGAACAGTGACCTGAAACTACACTGCCTGGATTGATCACACTGCCTAGATCGATCACACTGCCTGGATCAATCCCCAGAAAATCTGATCCGAAAATTTGTCCGGAAATACTATTTTTGAGTTCTAAAATCCTATTTTTAATACCAATTGATTATGATCACTATAAAAATGATTTTTCACAATAAAAGTGATGTTTTTAACAAATAAAAATGTTATGTGATGCATGACGGTAAGTTAGACTGTTGACACCCGAAGCTAGGCCGCTAATTGTTATTGAATATTATGTTGATTGATGTTTATGGTAATGATTATTGATTGATGATTATAATGATTGAATCTTGATGAATATTCTGATTAAAAATGATAATTGTGAATGATTAAATTATAATGAATATATTGATGATTGTGAAAATAATATATTGTTAAGGGTATCTAGAAGACCTATAAGATATACCCATATTAATATTGATTTGAAGGGTATCTAGAAGACCTCTAAGATATACCCATTTAAGTTAGGCCTTGCGGGTATGTACCACGGTGGCCAAGGTTAAAACGTACGTACGGGATCCAAGAACCAAACTTGAGTACCTACTCGTTTGGGGGTACCACCCACCCAACAGTGAACACTACGCTGTCGGTTTTTGGTTGGCCTTAATGAAGGTAAGTTTAAAATTTTCAAAACCCTTTTATCTTAAACTAGGTCTAGCTTAAGGATTATTTAGGAGTACTTTATATTGAAATATAGTTTAATTAGAATTTGTTAAAGGGCTGACAAACATTAAAGTGACTGGCCTTAGACTAAGAATAGTTTAATGATATTGTTGAATGTTGAATGATTGAATATTGAATAATGAATATTGAATGTCATTATTGAATATTGTGAATATTATGAATGACTGATGAACGTTGAATATGAATATAAATGTTGAATAATGAATGATAAATATTAAATGTTGATTATCTGAACTGAACATTATGTGCATGATATCAAATGATTTGATTATGAATTGAGATTCAGTTTATATGGATGTTTGACACATTAGATATGCTTACTCGGCTTCAACGCTGAACGTGTAGTATGTTTTATTTGCTACACGCATGTAAATAGAAAGAATGAAGTGACATGATCCTGGAGGAAGACGGAGGCGAGATTGTTGGAATGGATGTGATGGTTTTGAATTAAAGAACATAAATAAATTATGTTTGTGATTATGAATTGTTAAGCTTCCGTAATATCGAAAACTCCGTACTGTTTATGATATGACAAATATTATTGTGATAAATAAAAGTATTTGAAATGCTTTAAATTTTATGACTACCAAGTTAATACTTTAGTCCGAAAGGGGCTGCAAACCTGGACGGATTAGGGTGTTACAAAACTAGACGAGTTTCATCTATTGTCACTGGATACCAGCGTCAACAGAACCTTGTCGTTATTACTTTATACTCTCATCGTCCCATATCTTTCTCCACGCTTTCCTTTTCAGGTCGTTCCACTTAATTCTTTATCATTTCCTTTTTTTTGGTAAATAAATTTTGGCCAATAGACCTACCATTCTTCTCCCTTGTTCTTAATTCTTCTTTCTTTTCACCCAACCACCCCACCACAACATTTTCTTCTTCGTGTCATACTCCCCCAACCACCATTTTTCTTCTTCTTCTTTGCAATCAGAGCCCTCTTCTTCGCTCCCCTCCATCTTCTGATACGGATAGTTAATTATAATATTTTAATTAGTTATATTATCATTTAATACTTATTCATTATTATTATTATTATTATTATTATTATTATTTATTGATAGTTTAGGGTTTTAGTAGGGCCCGAGCCCATTAGGTCAATTAGGGTTTTCCACGTCTTTATATATTGTAACCTTTCGTTATTATTATTCAAGCAATCAATAATCAAAAATTCTCTTAATCTCTCGTCTCTTTTTTTTGGAGTCCGGAAATGCTCGAAGTTTTCCTTCTCTCTTTGCCTCCCCTTTCTTGGAGCCCGAAGACGCTCGAAGTTCTTCCCTATCCGATACGATATTCGTATCAATTGGTGCTCTCATTAAGAGTAACACCAAAAAAGTCCCAAAAAAACAAAAAAAATTGTGTCGATCTAGTTGCAGCCGCCGTGTCCCCGCCGCCCAAATTTTCACCGATCTGAAAAGCAGAAGCAGGGCATCCAAGAAAACGCCACAACTACCTTCCAGATCCATTTGGCCATCTACAAAATACTTTTGTTCAGAGAAGCTTTTGTCGTCGGAGGTTCTCAAGACTCTGGCCAATTTGCATTCAGGAATCTCAGCCGCACCAAAAAAAACAAGGAAAAAAGAAAAGGCTTCCGCCGCCGTTGCCAGATTACTTTTGTCGCTCGTCACTATTCCATCGATTCAATTCTTGCTCCCAGTTTGTCAAGGTGTTTTGTTCCAGAGTACTATTGCACCAGAAGCAAAAAAAAAGTTGTAGAGACACAAATTTGGGTTTGCCGCTATTTAGTTGTAGGCGCAACACCATTGGAGCTCTCATATTTGACACCTAATTTGGTGCCACAAGAATTCTACAGAATTGATTGTAAAACTCCACGATCTCAGATTACTGGGCAACAGAGCATTAATTTTGGAGTAGAAGAAAAATTGGACTATTGCTTTGCGCCACGTCCAAGGAAAAAAATGTAGCCAGATTTTTTATTCTGACTAGAGGCTCGATTCAATCGGTTAGAGAATTTGATTATGAGTACATGTGCATTGGACAAGCTTATTAATTTGCTAGAGAATGTTCTATATGGAGAAATTGAGCACGACAAAGGAGTATGCACACTTTACGATTATATAGATGACATTATAAATAATCTTCAGTCATTTCGTCATATTGAAGGTAGGTCAAATTATGATTCTGACTTACGGGCATTTGATATTGAAATCTCTTGCACGATACAAGATTTGGTTCGTGGTCCCCCAATTTTGCCGAGGTTCCGTTGGAGTTACAAAATTTCAAAACAAACATGATGAAGGTCATCCAGAACCTCACTAGTGCCCCACTTTCTCCACCAAATTCGGCTCTTGTGGTCACCGTACAAAACACTGGGTCTCATGAAAAAGAATTAAAGGATGACTCAAGCGTCGAACCACATGTTGGGGATGTTATGGACAGTAAGCCTGAACTCATGAATGAAGATGACGAGAGGTCCAACGTTGTTGAAAATAATAAAGAGCTTGCTCTTCTAGAAGGTGCCAACAAGGTGACAGATGCAGATAATACACATGCGGACAATAGAGATGCGGTCAGGACAAAGCACCTAGTTTCACCGAGAGAACCTATACTGGGTATTGGATCTATCTCGCATGTCCCTCGATTTGCTCCAAGATCCAAGATGGTTGAAGATTCAAAGAGTGGACTGCTCCTATGGTTTAACATTATCTCTCCAGTCCAGAAGCACGAGTGGGAGCCTCCACCTTGAGGACAAGGTGGTTTTTCAGGGGGTGGGAATGATACGGATAGTTAATTATAATATTTTAATTAGTTATATTATCATTTAGCACTTATTCATTATTATTATTATTATTATTATTATTATTATTATTATTATTATTATTATTTATTGATAGTTTAGGGTTTTAGTAGGGGTCCGAGCCCATTAGGGTTTTATTAAAGTGCTATTTTCGTATTTCTCCCTTATTATTATTCAAACAATCAATAATCAAGAATTCTCTTAATCTCTCGTCTCTTTTTTTGGAGCCCGGAAACGCTCGAAGTTTTCCTTCTCTCTTTGCCTCCCCTTTCTTGGAGCCCGAAGACGCTCGAAGTTCTTTCCTATCCGATACGATATTTGTATCATCTTCTTCTTCATAATCTTTGACACCCCACATTTCTTCACGCTTCTTCTCACCCCCACCCCCCCTCAGTTCCTTTTGTCTTCTTCTAAGGCAACAAAGCTTCGAGATCTATCCATCACTCAAGTGACAAAACATTTCAGATCCAAAAATCGGCGAGGGGGCAAGGGCTACAAAAGCTATAGCGAAGAGGGGTAGCGGTAGTGAGTGTACAAGAACTATAGATTTGATTTTCTATTTCTTCACTGTCTTATTCTCTTTATATTTTAAAAACAAATCAAAATTTCTTTGAAGGAGAGGAAGAAAGGTTTGTAATGGAGGGGAGGGGGTTAAGGTTGAAGAGATTTGATTATTAATTTCATCAATTTCTTAGATCTAAAATTTAAAATTTGATTTTTTTTATGTTTAACTTTTTTCCATTTGGATCTCCATGAGGTTGAAGAAAGAGAAGAAACATGGTCTGAGATGAAGATTAAAGAAGAAGAAGAGGAGGAGGAGGAGGAGGAAAAAATAGCAATAAGGCCATGCGTTACCATGGGATTGATTGGGGGGGGGGCTTGACCACCGCCATGTAGGTGCCATGTGGCTTGTCCCTCCCATCAAGCACATCACATGGAGGGGTGTTATTGCGGGGACATGACCATTTTTTGTTTTTTTTGTTTTTATTTGTTTTTTCGGTTTTGTAGATAAAGTTTTTTAAACATATAAATTCAAACAACGGAATTTTTTTGAATACAATACATAAAAAATTACAACGGAAAAAGAAATACAAGAAAAAAACTACAAAAAAACAACAAGATTAAAAAAAAATACATTGAAACAAAACGGGGAAAAAATATAACTAGTCTTCCGTGTTCCACTTAGTCCGGATCTTTGCCTTCGCCTACTCGGCATCTTCTCTAGCTTGTCCGGTCAAATGATATGTTGGAGTCTACAGCATGCGCATATCATTGTTGTATTATTTTTCTTGTTGTAGAGAAACAAACATCTTCATGTACGTTGATATCCCGTCCAACTTCTCTTCCAACTTGTTATTACTCCACGAGGACATTGGGTTCGTTTTAATTTTAAAATTAATTTTTCGGGTAGATATTGTAAACTGGTGCCCAACAGTAATAGTTTGTTAAATTTGAAAGGGTTTTATAGTATTAGAATGACTCCTAAGCATACCTCTTTTTATCCAACTCATGCACGGTTGACTTAGGCTTGCCAATTGCAGCAATTAATGATCTTACATTAGTCTTCTTCCTGAGTTGAGTGTCTGCAATGGCCTTTGCATCCATCACTGCCCTTTTCTTGTCAATCATTCCTACCATTTGACTCCTCACATCAATGGCAACTTCCTCCTCTATTTATTTTTTGCAATGACTCATATGTTGCTCACTGTTTTTCTAGATATATTAAACTGTGTAGCAAATTTGTTGGTATGTCCATAGTGAGCTGAGTATGAACCATTTGGGTTTTGCTTTGAATGAGCTAGTATTCTAGTAATGTCTCACTTATTACCTGCCTGCTTGGATTGTCCAATTTCTTTATGTTTATGTGAGTGTATTCATCATCCACATGTGTTTGCAGGCCCCCAAGAAGTGCAGCAGCCAATATAAGAGGAAAAATGAAAATTGAAGATAAAATACTGCAAGGACAGAAATTAGAAGAAAATGAAGAGAAGTGAATGAAGAAAAAGCATGCCAAATAAGGAAAGAGGTGGGAGTTTATATAGGAGTGAACATCATATCCTATTTGATTTTTTTTGAGATGTTTGGGCGGGTAGTATTGTAGAGATATGAGGGAATATGAATTTTTTTGGATGATTTGATAATGTTTTGATGTATCAAACCCATACTTTTCCCTTCTTTTAGAAACAGTAATATTACTCCGCATTGTTCATTTTTTTATTTGGCAAGTGACTTTCTTATCCTTCCTTTTTTTAGTAACTGTATTGTGGTCATTTTGAGGCTTTGGTCAACTTCTACTAAGGGGGTGTTTGTTTTTTCTGCAGGAAAAGGTCTGCAGTCTGCGGACCACTACTGTAGACATCTGCAGGAGAAGTGGTGAACCGAAGGTCTGCGGTCTGCAAGAAGAAGACTGTTTGTTTTTTAATGTCTGTAGACTNGGTGATGGTGGACGGTGGTGATGGTGGTGGACGGTGGTGGTGGTGAAGAGAAGTAGAAGAAAAAAAATGGAGAAGATGTTAGAAGATGTTAGAAGACATATGTTAATGTCTTCTCTAAGAAGATGCCAAGAAGACCGTTTTGAATGAAATGTCTTCCAAAAAACAAACAATCTGCAGAGCTCAGTATCTGCGCGCGTCTGCACGACGCAGACAAAAGCGGCCAAAAAACAAACACCCCCTAAAAAAGATATATACTCCGTAGTTAAACTTGGAAGTTCTTTTCCAGACGGAGAGAGTATATAGAAGCTGATAGTTACATTTAAGACTATAGTACATTTTTTACACTATCCATTCGAAGGGTTAAAAAGTATATATTGTAGTGTATAAAGCGTATATTTATGTGTATACATTTTTTACACCATTTGCATTGTACTATTGTAGATGCTCTAACAAAAAGAAAAAGAAAATCGGATCGAAGTGCGTACATATTCAAAACCCTTTCCCCCAAGTCTCTTCCATAAAAAAAAATTCAAATTCACAATCATCTGCGCCTCCCTCTCCATTCTTCTTTCGCATATGCGATACAGATACATTTATATCGGCCATACATACCTATAAGGGATTTTTGTCAGGTCCGGAGTTGCGGCGAAGATGAGCAGCGGCGGCGGCAGCAGCAGCACCACCAGCAAGAACAGTAGCCAGGCCGTAGGTGGAGCAGCGGCTAGGGTTTCAATCCCCAGCGGCGTGTCGAGGACGATCCAGCAGATAAAGGAGATCACAGGAAATCACAGCGAGGAAGAGATATATGCGATGCTCAAGGAATGCTCCATGGATCCCAATGACACTATCGCTAGGCTTATCTTTCAGGGTAGGCCCTCGCCCACCCCTCTCTTGCCGCCTCTTTCCCCTTTCTGCCTATTTGCTTGGTTGTATTTTCATGTCTACATTCGTGCATGCATTTATAGCTTTCATAGTATGTGGACTGGTAATCAGGCCTGATCTTTTTTCCATTTCTGATCCGGACTGAGTCTTCATTACTCTGCTGAGTGTTTCCATTTCCAATTAGATTTCTTTCTGTGTGTACCTATTTTTGCTCTCATTTTATATGTACTTATCAAGTTATTAGTGATTTCTCATATTGCCGGTCTTATCCATATCAACTGAGCCTACTGCAATCAGATTATCAGTGGTTAGGCATAGAAAATGGAAAAAGAGATAAGTTTTGCGTCAATGTTCAGCTCTTATCCAGTTCTCTTTATGCAAGTTCTTGAATGGCCTCAGTAGTATGCTACTATAATTATCAATTTCTGTTTCTCACATTGAAAAGGTGGCATTTCCCTTTTTTTTTGTCTGGATTTTTTACAAAAAAAACTGCAGCATTGTTCATTTTTCCGATTTCACATCTGGAGATGTTTTATGCTCTTCTACTTACGACCTATAAGTCATCTACAAAGTTTTGATACTTCCTCCCATAACTAAATTCACAAAACTGACTATGATGTTTGACTGAATTCATTTCCCATTTTGTTTATTTAAGTACTGGTATAAAATTTTAAAATAAAGTTTATATACTTAAAAATGATGTCAAATGCTCTATAAAACATGAGGTGATATGGCTTTTTATTTTAAGAAATGATTAGCAAAGATAAGTAAAGAAAGAAAACATTTTTGACCTATGAATAGTGTTTGTGACTTTAGTTTTGTAACAGAGGAAGTATTTAAATAGTATCTACTCCATTCAAGCTTGTTTCATCTTCTACTTTCATATTTGCTTCTTTAGGCTGGACACCGTATACCATCTATAAAGAAATGTTTATGAGGATTCCAAGAGAATGAGAAAGTAATTGATAGAAGTCTTCAGTCCTTGTTATATTGTCCCCAATGTATTGTTTCATTCTTTTTTTAACAACCAGTTGCCAGCTGTCAATGTTCTGTTGGGTAGTTAGTTACTTATTACTTAGTAGTTTGCTTTATTTGGCAAGATCATCCAAATGTGCTAAGTTTTTCTTAATTTGATATATGGAATGTATTTTAAGTTTGGAATGTGCTGAGTGCCATGATCTTATTCATTTCAAACTGCCTATAATGTCCACAAGTAGTTTGGCGGTCTTTCTAGCATCCTATCCCCTTACATAATTCTGTTTTATTTTATTCCCCTATATTCCTTATTTTCTTCTTTTTTGTTATATTACAAAATTCATCTTTATGCTTGCAGATACCTTCCACGAAGTGAAAAGGAAACGGGAGCGTAAAAGAGAGGTATTTGTTTGTGCTTTATTTGAAAATTAGCAACCATGTATTGGTGGGAGATCTATGAGTAAATGACAATGATTAAACCACAAACACATTAATTTCATAGATTGTTTCCAAAAGTGATGTATACATTTCTGAAACTCATTTAGACATAAAATATGCAAGCACCTATCCGCATTGTGCAACTAGTCAGTAAGCCCTGATTTAGTATTGGCACAGTAAGTTTGGATGAAAAAAATTTTATTGGCCATTTTTCCATAAGTACCATATATATGGTCCCTAACATCCATTGCGGCCATTTTTGAAATGACGCGCTTGAACTCATGCCTTCATGTTACCGTTTGACTCATCAAGTACCTCATTCCTTCTGCCACATAGTTTCTTGATATTCTTATCTCTATTTATTTTGTACTCTCTGTCCCAAAATGAACTTTACACTTTCCTTTTTTGAGATGTCCCAAAATAATTTTTACTTTTTATACTTTCCTATTAAGGAAATGAATATATGGCTCGCAACATTTCTCTCTTTTCTATACAAATTTCAACCAAATACTTTTTACTTTTTAACACTTATCTTAAACTTTGCAATCAAATTGTAACTTCATTTGGGACAAAGAGAGTATATCATACCTCTTGAAATTTGCATATGATCTATATTGTGAAGGGGAAATGATTTGTTATGATTCATTATTTTCAGTTAATATATGTTTCATCTGATGACTATAATATCTACTTATTATTAGTCTTCCTCTTCTTCCCTTATTTTTTGGCAGTTCTTGACTCTCCAACGGTTCTAAACAGTTTCTTAACTATTTTAATCACTCCTTAAGCTATATAAACCATCTCTAAGTATCATTTTGATCATCAAGAACATCCTCTCTAATTACAAGCATTCTTCTAGCCTTTCTTGAGTGGTTCAAGCTGTTGTTTTTCAATATTTTCATTATTCTTTTATAATAGCTGATTCTGATCTTTTGCAGAATACTAACAAGGATTCCGTGGAGCCTAAGGGGAAACCAGGCTTGATGGGGAGGGGGAATAAGGCCGAGAGGGGGAATTTTTCATCTCGTTATGCTTCTCAAGGTAAATCCACATGCTAGGGCTCTAGCCGAATGCACCTTTTTTGGGCTATTATCTTACTATGGTCACATTTTGTTGTGCTAGTTCATTTACCCCAGACACTAGAAGTTGTGCTAAACAATAATAATATAAGACATATTAGTTAAGTATACTATTGGAAATGATATCTCATCTAGTTTTTTTTAACTATAGTTTTGTAAGCTTTGATTTTTGGTCATGCTCAAGATAATCCTAATCCTGCTTTATGATGTGGATTATCCCCAAAGAATCATGACGACATGCTAATATTATTTATCAGATGGCGATAACCCCAGACTGCTCTTTCTAATATTATTCACCACTATGTATATATTATACTCAAGCTGTATCATTACTGCTTATCTACATATCTTGTTAGATGGTATTGGTGGAAGGAACTCTGCTTCTGGAAAGGAAAACGGAAATGTCCATAACTTAGAGAAGAGCCTTAGCCCAACGTATGTTCCTCACCTCAAGGAGGAGAAGAGCGCTACAAGGGGGTATGAATGTGAAGTCAGTTATTTGTTTGATTATTCATTAATTGCACATGCAACACACTGATAAGAATTGATTATAACTTTTCTGAGTGTGCACTGATGATTTCATTGTTAATGCAATTTTTGTTCAGCTCATCTGCATCCTCACCTAATGAACTCAGTGTTGGAGCTTCTGCACCAGCCACCTCTACTGTCTTTGGCAAGTTGGCAGGTTTGCCACAACAGAGAGCTCCAACTGATGCAATCAAACGGCCTAACGTTGAAGAAAGAACCAGGAGTAATCATGGGCTGGCTGTTCATACAAGTGATTCCTCTACATCTTTTGCTTCAGTAGCATCATCAGACACTCAGTTGCCAGCTTCAGATCCAGTGCCGTTAGCTTCACAGGATTCAAAAACTGTTGATGCATTAGGTGGAAATAAATCTGAAAGGCAAAGCCAATGTGCCGCCGCCGCTGCAATCTACAATGAAAACAAAACTACTGGTCAAATAGGTAATACTTGTGTGCATTTTTATTGTTCCGATTTGTGAGCTTTGCCTCCATAATATCAACCCAGTTTACAATTTTTCCCCCTGTTTTTCTCTTGTCATGAATACATAAATAGAGATTTCCGAGGTTTGCTCAAATGTGCAAGGAAAGAAACCGGCCACATTCCAGGGGTCTGGGAAGAATCAACCTGTAATATCTTCACAGATGGATTCTAGTCAGGGTGGTTCTTTTAGTAGGCCTTCGTCCAATTACAACAACCGATCACAAGCAATTGGACCACAGAAAGGTATAATATAGCGAATCCATAGTGTTAGATACAGTCTTCTTTGGTTGCTTATGATTGTTCTCTTTTGCATAAATACACAAACTTGGACTGACCATAGTTTAAAGAACCAGTCTGAATATCATCAGTTTTATCTTTTAGTTTTCTTGAAATCCTTCCAGAAAAGTGTGGTCTCTTATATTCTCCATTGAATTGATTTGTATACTCATTGTGAAAACATCTTCTTTTTTTACTATTGGAATATAATAGTGTTCTGCAGTAAAGTTATTGTTACTACTACTACTACTACTACTGCAATTACGACTCCTCACTCTATCCCAATTTGTAGTGCTTCTTTTCCTTTTTATTGAAGTCCTGAAAGTTAATATTTAATTAAACATATAATCTGTATATAAAATATGTATACCATGTAAATACTTTGTGCATATACGGTAAACCTCGTTTTTTATTTAATGTAAATGAATATACATATTGATGGATTTAATCTTATAGATGAAATCATATTATTTACTTATGAGTTGAATTTGGATATTTAATTATTATAAAAATGTTTTTTCCAAAATTAATCAACAATTTCTGTAATGTGAACTACGGTTCGCGAGTTATCACAATGTTATAACCAGTACCCCTCCATCGCCATATGTACCCTGCCCCAATTTATTGTGCATGTTTTGACTTATAGGAAGTATTACGTGGTTCACCACTTTTCTCTCCATAAAGTCTCAACTACATGGTTTTCACTTTATTAAAAATTGTGAAGGTTAAATTTGGCAGTTGGCATATCTTTTTGGGATGGAAGAGTATTAAGGGTCGGAAATTATCCATTATATACTCCAACAAACTCATGGATTAGTGGCCTACAAATGATATAGTAAATCTTTTGCACTCCATGTTTTTTTTATATTTTTCAAGCAAGTAAAAAACTAGATTATGTAACCTAGGATATTCTTTAAAAAAAGAAGAGATCAGGCACTCTTTTGCCAAACACAACCATTGTATGTCAAGTTGGTATTGGTTATTTAAGCACTGGTCTTTTGATGCGTTCCTAGGTTATCACACCCAATGACAGTTAAGCTTAACCTTTTAGTCTGCTGTTTGAATTTAAATAGTCCGTATATGATATTATGGTAACACAAATCGATATTTTGTTGTGTTTTTAAGTTCACTTTTTTTTGTAGCTGGTCATACGAAAGAGTGGAAACCAAAGGCTACGAATTCAACTCTCTTGCCAGGATCTATTACAGATTCTTCGTCTGAAGCTCCAACAGTTTCTGTTGGACCTGATATCATGTTGGAATCTAGACAAGATGCCCTTGAAACAAGTGAAGTAACATTGGAGGTTCAAAAGAAGTTGGATAAGGTGCAAATTTCAGAAGTTCAGCATGTTATAATTCCAGATCACCTTCATGTCCCTGATGCTGAAAAGCTCGGGTTTTGTTTTGGAAGTTTTGATGCAATTTATGAGTTAAGCACAAGCGTTAACACAACAGCTGAGAATGACCAAAGTCCATCCCATTCCGAATCTTCTGCGGTCAGTGAAGAAACTGCAAGAGAACAATTTCCAAGGTATCTTTTTTTGCTCTCTATCTCTCAGAAAAACGTTGTGCTCATTTACAAATTATTCTGCGCTTACTATGTCCGTCTAAAAAACAGTGTTGTTTAACTATAGTACCTCTTTAATTTTGGCAAGATACAACTCTCTATAGCCACCAATCCTACTTGTACTTGTTTAGTTTTTTTGTTTGTTTAACTACTAACTAGATTTTATCATCTTTATTTTTCTGAAGACTTTTTTCAGAGCATAAAAATATAAGATATTAGCTTTCTTTCTTAAACAATATTCTTTTGGGACAGAGGGGGTACAGGGTACTTAAGTTGGGGATTTCACAGGAGAATTTTAGACACTTGTATGTGGGATAAAATACATTTGCCACATCATCTGGTAATGTTGAGGATATAAAAATGACGAGGAAGGTGAATGGAAACACCTTTCTTTCTTGGTCCAACAACTTGGGTAACCACTTGTGTACCCCTCTGCAACTATGTAAGGTTGAAAATTCTGATCCTCCTGAATTAGCTAAAAATCACATGTTTTATATTTGCAGAATTACATTAGCTTTACAGTCCATATTTTATAGTATTTGTGAATGACTTGATTCCATGAGTTTCTGCAGCAATGAAGGTGCATTATCATCAGTAGACGAGGCAGATAATTCTGATAATAATCCATTGTCATCTTCACCTGAGGAAGCGATTGCGTCATCTAAGGTGGGTGAAATATCACCCTCTGTTCCAGAATACAATGAAGTGAAACCAGAGAACCTGCAAGGAGATCATCAATACTCTGTTGTTCAGACACCACCTAGTTATGGTTTCATACCACCAATCTTAGGCAGCCAGACTGGACCTTTTGAAAGCTCCGAATCTCAGGCTCGGGTTTCAAACTTTGTTGTAAGTGCTTGTTTTATTGTCTTCACCCAAACCTGTTAAGTAATTGCAGTCTGAACCGTTTATTGCAACGTTATTTTCTGTTTCTTTCTAGATTCAGCAACCATTTGACCCAACTAGCTACTATACTCAATTGTATCGTTCTGGTGTGGATTGTGATGGCCGTATATCACCTTTTCATCCAATCGGTGTTCAGGCCAAGTTAAATGGAAATGTTGCGGTAATGTCCCCTCCAACTCAACAGTCCATTCAAGAGGTGTGGAATCAAACTTTATTTGCCTTTCATCATGATGTTTTCTATTTGTGTGGGAAATAAAGGCAATATAATGGATATGGAAAGAGCTAAATACTTCGTGTAAAAGAAATGAGAAAAAGAACGCCCTAACTCTCATACAAAAACATGTTCAAGAAAAAAATTACTCTAACATTTTTCTAAAAGAATACTCTGCACATTATTGGATCTCTGTACACTTTCATCTTAATTACATTGATGGTTTCCTTTTAAGTCTTTTGTATTAACGTGAAATGAAAATGAAATAAACTCTCTAAAGTAGATGTGTTAACAATGTCTTGCAGGGTGGCAGCACACTTGTTTTGTCTACAGCAGCAGCAACCCCACTAGTGACTCAAGCAGCTGCGGGGCTTATCCAGACTTCAATAGCGGTACCCCAGCCACCGCTCCCAGCTCTGTTTAGACAACCAACGGGAATGCACCTTCCTCATTTTCCGGCCAACTATATTCCTTATGGCCACTATTTTCATCCGTTTTATCCTCCTCCAGCGATCCATCAATTCTTTAGTACTGGTGCATTTCCTCAGCAACCTCAGGCTGGCAGTGTGTATCAACAACAACCTTCTCCAGCACCAACTCCTAAATATTCTCTCTCTCAATATAATAATAATAAGCAGCAGCAGCAGCAGGGTGGAGCTAATGCTCCAAACCCAACTTATATTGGACTTCCCGGTAGCTATGGACCCTATGGCTCTGCAACTGCCAATTTCAATCCCACATTAACCACAGCTGGTAACCCAACATCAAATGAAGACCGTCCTGCTTCACAGTTCAAAGAGAATAATAACGTTTATGGCGGCGGTCAACAGGTTTTCATCTTCTCTAGATACAACTCTCTCTCTCTCTCTCTCTGTAGTTTGTTGTGACCTGTGGGATCTTCTATTGAGCAGTTATTTGTTTGATTGCAGAGTGAAGGATTGGGTGTTTGGATAAGTGCAGCGGGTCGGGATATCTCCAGCTTGCATGCTGGTTCATTCTACAATCTTCCACCTCATGGTCAAGTGACATTTTCGCCGACGCAGCCCGGGCATGGAACCTTTGCCGCTGGCATTTATCATCCGACTCCGCCGATAACACCCCCAACCGGTCACCCACTTCTGCAGCAGTCACAGAACATCTCCGTTCCCAATGAAATGGCGGGGCCCACATCCAACATCTACCAGCAGCAGCAGCAACCGCAGCAGCATTCGCAGATTAACTGGCCAGGCAGCTATTAAACAAGAAATAGGTTACCTTTTTATAATTCTTTCGTAATGCAATTGGCAGTGACTTTGGACAGAGGAGGAAACCGGCCACGACGTACTTTAATTCGCAGATAAAAAAAAAGACGAAAAGGTGGCAAGAAAAAAAAAACTTTCAAAACTTAAAAAAAAAATATTTTTTTCTTAAAAAAAGATCTATTTTTTTTGGATTGGCTGGTGGGTGGGGTGGGTAGTAGGTTGGGAAAGGTTCAAATCCTCCTCCAAGTCTCCAACAGATATGGTGCCAATTGTAAATTACTAGTTGAGCTCTCCTGTTATATTGTCTGGGTTTGCCTTTCCCCGTAGTTAGTCCCTCTAAGTATCCAAGCTAGGAAAGTTGCGACGTTCGTTTTGCTTTTCCGACAGTTTTTTTTGGAAGGTTAAGAAAGAGAACTCTGGAAAGAAGCGAGGTTTTGGGGGTGCTTTCTTTGTTTTGTCTAGGAGGTTTCTTTGGTTTTGGTTTTGTTATGCTTCCCAGAGTTTTTACCTGTAAAGTTGATTTTTGGTGAGAAGAAAGGGGTGTGCACTCTAATTTGTTGTACTTGGTGATGGGTATAAGCACCAACAAAAAAAAAAAGAGAAGTGGCATTAATTATTTCACTCTTTATTTTATACGGAGTATATTAAAAAGATTAGTCCAATGGATGATGGTTTCAGTTTAGTGCTTGCTGGGTTTTTTATTCAATGCAATAAAGATATAAGTGAGGCCATGTTTTTAATTGTTTGTTTTTTTTAATGGAAAATGTTTGGGGGACCTCACTTCGGGTACACCTGATGTACACTGAGGCAAAAATAGACACAAAAATACTTAATTTAGACATTGAATGTCTGTGTGTGTACCTTTTTTGCCTTAGTGTAGGTTTGGTGTATCCCAAGGTGAGGTTCTCCTAGCACTCTCCGAAAACCCCTTTGTTTATTTGTGACTGTTTCCGTTGTAAAAAAAAGTTTCTATTTTGACTTTTGGTAGATTTAAATTTAGTAATTTGACTTTTCAATTATATCTTTAATGACGAAGAAAAAAGGGTGACAGAATAACTTCAATAAGTTGTTATATCAATGCAAAAATTGCAAAATAAATAGACTATCTTGCAATGACTTTATTTAGATATATTAACCGGAGTAATATGTGATTTGAGCATAACTTCGAATATACATATCAGGCTCATTTACTTACATTGATGTCATTGGACAAAGTAGCATGCTACACGAATAAACTAGAATATCTATCTATCTATATTCATTTTTTTAGTGTTACATAGGGAGTATTTTTCACTATTAATCTCATATGTAAATTTAACCGATATCTCAATTAATATTTATAAATAAATTAAATTATAATTTTACTCATGAAATATAAGTAGACTTTGTTGATACTACGTACAAAAGCTCTAAGTTAGGTCGTGCACGATCGCCATTTATCATCGTTGCGAAAAGTCAAATTCGGACGTTCGACTTTTTGCACCCATTGTTTACCATCTATGCTTCTTGCCTATGATAAAACTCACGAGAACTATTTTATCCACAATTAATTCTTTAAACTTTTGATTTAGTATTTTTTAAATATATAAATTTAATTTTTATTTACATGCCAATTAAAAAAAATAAAAAGCTTCATTTCTCCCATATTTTTATTTGAAGGAGAGAGTATTTATTACTACTTCGCACTACCTTCAGCTCAGGCCTCCCATTTCAGAATTCACCGTTTTTCCAGATCCAATCAATTCCATTCTCAGGTATTTCTTCCTTTTTCAGAGCTCCATTTTCAGTCTTAGCTGCCGCTGCTTCGACTTCCGCCATTGTCAAATACTCGCAAGTTTAGAGTTACTATCTCCTGTTTCAATTATAATCCAGATATATGAAACGCAATTGTACATGTTCTTATCTTTGCTGAATTCTTAGACGATCGATTCTCCGAAATCTGAAACACTACTCTACAGATCTTTTATTTAGACCTTTTGTTTCGAAGATGTGTATGAAGATCTCATGTATTTTCTATCTACATGTTTATATTTCTGTGGTTTCGTTTGTAAATCTGAGTTTCTCAGTGATTTTTTTGGAATTTAAGGAGAGATGTTTCATTTTAATTTCTGAAATCATCAATTACATTGTCGAACATGCATTTTTTTCTGTTTGATTTCTAGAAATTATCTATTGCATTAATTTCTTGTATTGTCTGTTTTTTTGCCAGATTTGTTTTAATTGCATATGCTGGATTGACGGCGCGAATGAAGAGAACAATTTCAGTTCAGTTTATAGAGTGAGAGAGTTAGAGATTCGAGCCGTTTTCAACCCTTGTTTTGGAGTGGAATTTGTGGTTTGTGAGGGTAAAAAGACGGAATGATGGGCCGGTCTTCGGGTTGGGCACCAAGGAATGCTGGTGGTTTTAGGGCGGATAATTTAGGCCAAGATGCACTGTCTATGATAAGGAATCTCGGTTTCGCCGTATTTGTGATCGGAGTCCTGATTTTTACTATAATTGCGGCGACCTATCAACCTGAAGACCCACTGTTTCACCCATCTGCTAAGATGACAAATTTTCTGACTTCAAGGTCCAATGCCACATTCAAAGCCGATGACACTGTGGTGAGGACCGGGGAAGACTTCATTGCTTCAAACCAGACCGCGTTTTCCAGCTTTATTAACCTCACAGATGTTGACATTGCAGTTCCCATTCTTGAAACTGGCAATGATCTTGAGTGCCAAGGGAAAACCGATGATCCCATCGACTGTAGGGACCCGGACGTGTTCCATTTGTTGATGAAAGCTACTATTGAGAAATTTCCGGATGCACACTTTTACAAGTTTGGGAAACCCGTCCCCGGCTCGAACGAGAGCACCTGTCACATGGCGTGGCGGTTCAGGCCCAAGGAAGGAAAGACTGCTGCCTTTTATAAAGATTACAGAAGTTTTGTCATCTCTAGGTCAGACAATTGCACACTCAGTGTGGTTGGGATTGGGGAGTATCATTCTGGAGGGAATGCCAGGAAGAGGAAGAGAGACCACAAGGTAGGACCAGATAAAACAGGAAAGTCGGACGAAGGGTTTGAGAAGGCGCCGAGTGAGACAGTGGCAAGCCAGGGCAGCATTGCCCTGCCCGTGGTCGGGGAAGCCGTGAACGACTCCCTTCCCATTGTGGAATCAGAGTCTTCGTTTCGGCGGGGAAAGTATCTGTTTTATTCCGGCGGGGGCGATAGGTGCAAGAGCATGAACCATTACTTGTGGAGCTTCATGTGTGCGTTGGGCGAAGCCCAGTATTTGAACCGGACCTTGGTGATGGATCTGAGTATATGCCTCAACAAGATGTACACCTCGTCCGGCCAAGATGAGGAAGGGAAGGATTTCAGGTTCTATTTCGATTTCGAGCACCTGAAGGATTCGGCGTCTGTACTTGACCAGACTCAGTTCTGGGAGGACTGGAACAAGTGGCACCAGAAAGATGGGTTGACCCTCCATCTCGTGGAGGACTTCAGGGTCACTCCGATGAAGTTAGCCGGTCTGAGGGATGCTTTGATAGTTCGCAAGTTCGGGAGCGTGGAACCGGACAACTACTGGTACAGGGTGTGCGAGGGTGAGACCGAGTCGGTCGTCCAACGGCCGTGGCACCTTGTGTGGAAGTCAAGGAGGTTGATGGACATAGTTTCCGCAATCGCGTCTAGATTGAATTGGGACTACGACTCCGTCCACATCGTGAGAGGCGACAAGGCGAGAAACGAGAAATTGTGGCCGAACCTCCGGCGGGACACCGCGCCGGAGGCCGTCCTCTCGTCGCTGAAGGACAAGATCGAAGAGGGGAGGAACTTGTACGTGGCGACCGACGAGGGCGACGTGTCGTTCTTCGACCCGCTCAAGGACAAGTACTCGACGCATTTTCTCGACGAGTACCGGGACCTTTGGGACGAGAGGAGCGAGTGGTGGTCGGAGACGGCGGCGAAGCTCAACCGCGGAAACCCCGTGGAGTTCGACGGGTACATGAGGGCGTCCGTCGATACGGAGGTTTTCTTGAGGGGCAAGAAACAGGTGGAGACGTTCAACGACCTCACCACGGACTGCAAGGACGGGGTCAACACGTGTTGAGACCCCCGCCTCCCGAAAGTTTGTACTCTTCTGGTGCTCTTTCTCTGTGTTGTGTTGGTCCAAAATCTCAGTAACTCTGTAGGGAAAGTTTTTGCACTCTGTTTGGCCACTTTGGCATGGCAGTTCATAGAGCATCTGAAGCTTCTCCCCTTTCTAAACAGGATATAAGCTTCAGTGTTTCACTTGCATCTGCATTTGTAGCCTCTGTTAATCTTATTTTATTTTTGCATATTTCCTTATTTGCCCTTGAACTATCTTTCATGTGAGAAAATGGAGTAGATATTACTAGCTAAAATTAGTTGGAGGGTAATTTTAGAAACTGTACATGAAAGCAGACTGCCAAGCCAAGTGTGAGAGAAAGGCCGTGTTTGGAAAACAGCATTTGGGATAGCTTTTAGCATCTTTGACTGACTTTGGCTTTTTTGACCAAGCGAACCGCCAAAACCATTGTTTGGCTAATGGCTTTTTCACTTGGCATNCCAAGGTGAGTAGCATTTGGACTTGGCGGTTAGGAAAAATATTTTTTTTAAAATCATTTTTGTTGAAAGATATTTTATAATATATGTAAAAAATAAAAATAAAAGTTAAAAAAATTAAATACGAAAAAATAAAATGAAATTAAAAAAAAATTATATTTATAATTCATTAAAAAATTTATATTTATAATTTATTATGAATTAAATGAAATTAAAATTTAATATTCCATATAGTAAAGATTTAATTTTTACATGTAAAAAAATGAAAAATAAATATCATGTGTGTATATATATATATATATATATAAGAGAAATGAGAATGCGATCTTAGGAGAGAAATGAGAATGAATCTGGTGCTTTAGATTGTGTGATCTAAGGGTCAGAATTGCATCAAAATTAAGTGCAACAAAATGGTTTGAAAATGCATCACGTCGAAATGCATCATAATCCTTTGAAAATGCACTATCTCTAAATATGAGCGCAGGATGCAATCTGAGCCGCATGATGCATCAAATCCAACGGCTAGATTTCATTCTCATTTCTCTCCACAAGGTGCATTTTTACAGGAACCGGTCCCTATATATATATGTGTGTGTGTGTGTGTATAATTTTTTATTTAATTTTTTTAATTTTAAAAAAGTATATTTATGATATGATATTTAAAAAAATTGTAAAATAAAATATACCATAAATGGAGGGATGTCCTTTTATGTAATTTTATTTACAAACAGCTAACTATAAACAGGTAAAGTTGCCAAACACTTAAAATTTAACTGCTAACAGAAACAGCCGGTCAAAACAGCTAACTCAATCAGCCATTCAAATCAGCTAACTTAAACAGCCAACAGCCAACTGCCAACTGCTAGTATCCAAACAAGGCCAAAGTATTATCCATTTGGGTTTGTACTGAGGTAAGTGTTGCTAATGATATTCAATTTTCCATTCATTCATCAGTTTACAAAACCATTTCATGTTACTGTTTATACTCTTTCTGTCCCTAAAATACAGCACTTATAACACTTTTTTTGGGTTATTTGAAATTAATCTTCTTCCTTCTTTGTTTTTTTTAATAATGTAAAGAACACAGTATTTTGTTCACAATTTTTTTCTTCTAAGCAAATATTAACTATATATTACTCCCTAAAATCTTGTGCAATGATTGCCCAGGTTTGATTCTTAGTGGAGGTGTTCGTTCATTGTGTGTCATTAAATTGAGAAAACTATGAACAAAACTATATTGCACTAAAGTGAATATCACTAAAAAATTGGACGGAGGGACTATTTAGTTTTGAAAATTTTTATTTGATTCTATGAAGTGTCACCTTTACACTATGTTTGGTTCAAGAAATTCGAAAAGGAAAGGAAAAGAAAATGAGATGGAATAAAACTATTCTTGTTTGGTCAAGAATGCGAAATTTACTAAGGGTCCGTTTAGTATACTGAATTGACGGAATTGAAATTGAATTGGAATTGAAATTCTATGGGATTCAATTCCATAGAATTGAATTCTGTCAATTCCAATTCATTTTTTGCACTATCAATTCCAAATCCACATGATTTTTGTGCTACCAAACACCAGAATTAGAATTGAAGTATTCAATTCCAATTCCACAATTTGAATTCCATGTACCAAACAGGGCCTAAGAGAAATCCAAATTTCTCTCATTTTGTTGAGGAAATATGAGAGAACTATTTTTCTTTTCTTTTCGTTCCAAATTCATTGAACCAAACACGGTGTTAGTGTCATTGTAGCTGGATTCTTAATCCAATCAATGATGTTGGATTGGTGTGAGCTTTGATGTTTTGTTTGTAAAACAAAACATGTGACTTTGTTGCAATTGCCCACTGGTCTTCATCAAACTACTTTTTTGTCCCCATGTATTCATGTGTTGAAGTAGGATTTGTATGATGTTTGCTTATGTTTTGGCTAAGAAGTTTATGAGTTTGCTTCCCTAATGGATTATGTACCACACAAAAATGACCAAATATAGCATGAGACAAATATTGTGGAACAAACCATAACGGAAAAACAGGACACAAACATATTAACAAGCTAGAGTGAGCATAAGTTTCGATGACCCATCGCTTTGAAAGGACGCAAACATTCACCATTGGTGATGCTATAGCGGTCAACCGCACCTATACTCATGTTTCCTAGAAAAACCATCCTCCTATACATTTGAGGAACAAATGTCATATGCGATTCCACTTTGATCTGAAATCAAATGGCGTCACATATGACATCATTTACATGTGCAGGAGGAGGTTCTTTTTTATGAAAAAAAGACGCCATTCACTCATACGCTCCGGCCTCTACACCACTACTACCTAGAGCAAGCACATGTACATGAGAAAATAAAGCTTGGGATACATGTCTACTCATTTGTACACCAAGTGTATCACAGACACATAGACAAAACAACATACACAGACTGTTTGTGTCTGTGATACATTTGATGTACAAATGGAGTACACATCTTGGTGTACCCCTAGCACAGCCCAAGGCGGTCACATTGGACAAATCATCACATTTTCTTCATCGTCTTGTTGGTGTAGCGTCATGACTGAATTCCTGCAGAGCGGGCATGTGACCCCCCAAGACTTGACCCATTTCTCAAGACACGACAAGTGGAAGACGTGCCCGCACGACAACAGGTTTATCTCTGCATCTGGTTCAAACTCGGCCAAGCACACACAACAATAGCAACAGCAACAACAACACTCTTTTTCTTCTTTTTCTCCTCCTCTTCTCAAGGTGCAAACCGAGTCGTATCGAAGTGTCAGAGTCTGGCTCCGAAACTCCTCCATGTACGACTCGGAGGGAGATGCACGGCATTCTTCAATTGCATCTCCCGCGGGGTACTCTTCCCATGGGGAAGCAATGGGAATGCCGATGACACTAAGGATTGACCTTACCATCTCCTTGATCATGGAAATGGACATGGCGGTGTTGAAGAGGATCACACATAGAACACCGCCGTCCGCCGGGGATGAATAAGGCGAAAGACCCATACTTTGATGAAATTGCAACCTAATAAACCACACATCCAAACCCTATGTTAACAAAAGACAGACAAAGATAAAACTGAATTCATAAAGCATAAAACATTTTCACTTGTACTTGAGTTGGTTCTTGGCATAAACCAACAAAAATTAAGCTCTTTTTCTGTGTGTGGGCAAACAGAAAGTGAACAAAAAAATCTTGAAAATATAGTTCCCTAAATAAGACAATAAAAGAAGAAAAAAAAAGTTAATCATTCAAATCTGGTTGTGGCTGTTGAAGAGTGAAGACGCTTTTTTTGGGCATTAAATGGAGTGGATAAATAAATAAAATACTTGTAATAGATAAATAAATAAATCACCTGAAATCAAAGATTGCAGATTGCCCGGAGCAGAGAGAGATATTAATTATAGTAAACAAAAGAACTTGAAGAAAGCAGATCTGGAAAGTAAAGAGCAAATTATATTAAGCAGAATCAATGAAAGCTTACCAATCTATGCTGGAAAAAAAAAACCCAATTCAAGAATTACTGCTAAAAACTTCAATATCTAACCAGACCCAGAAATACTAAGCATTTATTTTACCTTAATTTTACTAAGAATCCATAATCCTGATTTAAAGACAACCCTAATCACAGATACAGCAAGAAATAGAAGAAAGAAAGTTGGCATCTTTGGGAGCAACAAAGAATGGCAAAAACAGAACCTTTTATTTCTTTCTTCAAGAATTTTGAAAGGGTAAGACTCTTCTCTGGTTCTCTCTCTTACAACGTGAAATGAAAATATGAATGTAAACCGAGAAGGAAGAAGAGTGGATAAAGCTCTCACCGATTATAATAATTGTCCGTAATAAAATGCAGCAGAAGTGACTGAAAATTGGGATCTCTTGAAGGAAAAAGGAAAGAAAAAAGGAAGACCTGTGGTGGCTCATCAGTCCAGGCAAGAGGTAGGAGGGGAGTGAGGACACATGACCCAAATTGGAATAAGTTTTATTCTGAAATCCGAACTAGCTTTAGTGTACTTTATATTTAAATTTGTTTCTGATATGATCTGATCCGATCTAATCTCATTCTAATAAGAAAGAATATACATTTAAGTAATAAGAATAATTTTAAAAGAACGTGCTCTAAGGGCTTGTCTTTTTAACTTGTTCTTATTACTTACTTCGTATTATTTATTCTTATTAGATCCAGCTCATATCAAACTAGATCTGATAAAAAACAACTTAAAATAGAATTACATTCAGATCAGGTCAGATCAAAACTTATTTCAATCAGATCAAAATCATTCAGATGAGGAGAAAAGAACAAGTCCAAGTCTCAAATTTGATCCAGGGCTGAGAGGCATATAATATCACTTGGCTCACCTTTTTTAGTAAAGAAAAGGAAATAATATGAGGGTGACATTAGTCAATCAAATTCCCATGTGAAACCTAGAGAAAAAGCAGGCCAACTCAATCAAAAGGCAAAGAAAGCACGTGAGGAAGCAATAAATAAATAAATCAAGGGATGTGACTGTTTGGCTTAAAAAGGAGATACCTATCAAATTGTCCTGCTTGCCCCTTTTCTGCTAATTTTGATTTCAATCGTGCTATGGGTACACCACTTTGTACCCCAGTGGTGTACCCCATATACCCCCACCCTACATACCACTAAATCCCACCCAATCCCACCCCATACCTCTGTTTTGTCTCTCTCTCTCCTCTCTCACCCACTGATTCTTTTCCCCCTTTTTTCTTCTCATTTCGCGCGGAAAAAAATCTCAGCATCATCGGAGTGCTAGCATCATCGGAGAAAGGGAAGTAGTGCGACGGCTAGTTAGCATCATCGGAGAAAGGGAACAGGAAGAGCAAAGGACCAAGTCGCGAGATTTGAAGAACGATGACCCAAGGCCGCCGAGATTTGAAGAACGATGACTGTCGGCTAGTTAACATCATCAGATTCGAAGTTTAACTACGGAAGAATGTATGAAGCTACGCCGACATCTCCTATTATAGCAGGTGATTATTTATTATTGCACTAGCACTATATGTTTGTGTTATGTTACAGTTTAGTTATAAATTGGTAGAAAGAGATGGTTCATTGAAAAGACTTTTTACCCCTGGATTCTTAGACTTTAAAGAAGTCTCGGTTATGGTTAATTTACTAGCAATAATTTCAGAAACATTCTCTGCATAACATTAGACATAGGATTCTTATTAAATTGAAAGCTGTTGTTGGGAATTTATTATATGCTTTTAGTTATGGACCAGGAATTAGGAGTGTGCAAGGAGATCCGCTGCAGGTTTGACCTAGTTGGGCAATTATTATCTGCTTTCAGGTGTAATTGTTTTGCACCAACAATTATGTCAGTGCAATAAGGCAGTTTGTAGGTATCACCTACGGACAATGTCAGGTTGGATCATAATTCTTTGGTTTTAGTTGTATATGTTTTTGACCCAGAAATTATGTGTGTGGAATGAGGTTGGATTTGGGTTTAACCTACATCAAGTGTAAAGGTTGGGCAGTTATCCTCTCTTTTCAGTGAAGTGTTGCACCAGCAAAATATATCTGTGCAATGTGGCAGACTATAGCTTTCACCATCAATACATGTCTGTGCAATATGTTAGCATGCTTAAAGTTGTTTTTTTTACGTGCAGGCTTTTTAGAGGGCAATGACAACTTGGATGTCGGAAGTAGTTTCATGAGTATTTTTGAAAACAACAGTAAGTAATGAGATGCATATATTGGACTTGAGCATTAATTTATATGAGTTCTAAAGTAATTTTGTCATTGTTGATGTCAGGCCTATATGAAGAGGTTGAGAATTTGGGAATTGAGCCTGCTTTGGTGGGCTTTTTAAGAGATGAATGTGAAGCACATGAAATGTGTGACTTTGGTGGTGATGGAGTAATATTGAACCCACATCCCAGTAAGTTCTTTAGTGTATAAGAGTCGTGTAAACATACTTTGTGTTTTATAAGATATAATTTATGGAGTAATAAATGTGGTTTTCAATCTTCGCAGTTTCATTTGCAAGTATAACGAATGTACGTGATGCAACTACTTTCATTACGTTGTTAGAAGAAGAGGGAGACTTGCATGTCCAGGGGGCAGTGGGGACTAGTGCAAACACCATAAACTGTAAGTTGTACATAGGGGCTTCTTTATGAAATACTGAATAGACAAGGATTGCAATGGACAGACAGATTATGTAGGTGCAACTTCATCCCGGATAGCTTGCACAGACAGATTTTGTAGGTGCAACTTCGTCCCGGATAGCTTGCACAGACAGAATATGTACGTGCAAAATGAAATAGTTTACATGTACTGCTCTGTGTGTAGGTTTGGAAACACACGTTGACGCCAACGGTGAAGATGAAGTGATTGATAATGGATCAATGGGACAATGTAATGTATCCTTGATTGGGAATAATTCCGACCAACAACAAAGACAAGAGTGTGAGTCCTTCAACGTTGTGGATGCAACGCCAGCGGTCGGTATGCGTTTCAAAAACTACGAAGCACTATATAATTTCTATCATGCATATGCTAAAAAAAGGGGTTTCCAATTCGCAAAAGAAGCTCTAGAAAAGGAAATGACGGTATGACACGAAGTGTGACAATGACTTGTGGTAGAGAGGGTAATCGGGAGAAGCGGAGTAAAAAGAATCTAAATGCACAACCCACAATGCAGTTGGGTTGCACAGCCCGAATCACTGCCTCAGTCGATATAGAAGGTGCGTGCACCATTTCGGTTGTTAATTTAGAGCATAATCATGGGCTAAGCCCAAGCAAAGCTCGTACATGGCGTTGTAACAGGAAAGTGCCTAACCACGTTAAAAGACGTCTTGAGGTGANTGATGCTGCAGGGATCCCGCTTCACAAAAGCTTCAACTCGACTGTTGTAGAAGCAGGGGGTTATGACCACTTGACCTTTCTTGAAAAGGATTGCCGGAATTACGTGGAGCAAGTGAGGCGAGTTAAAATATGTGCCGGAGAAGCCATGGCAATCCAAGCTTATTTTCAGAAATTGCAAGCACAATGTGATGGTTTTTTTATAGTATGGATCTAGATGAAGAATCACGTTTAAAAAATTTGTTTTGGGCTGATAAGAGATCTAGAGAGTCATACAAGTACTTTGGGGATGTTATAACGTTTGACACAACATACTTAACTAACAAATATGACATGCCCTTTGCTCCTTTTGTTGGTGTGAATCACCATGGTCAATCTTTTCTACTTGGATGCGGTTTGGTGTGCACCGAAGAGACTCCATCATTTGTATGGCTGTTTCGTACGTGGCTTGAGTGTATGGGTGGAATTCCCCCACGGGGTATCATCACAGACCAAGACAAGTCTATGAAGGCTGCAATTAAGATTGTGTTCCCGGGAACCCAACACCGATGGTGTTTGTGGCATATTTTGAAGAAAGGCCCAGTTAAGTTTGCAAAGCATGATGCTAGAGACAAGATCCTATGGACTTTAAGTAATTTAGTATATGATGTTCATGACCAGTAGGAATTTGTAAATGGTTGGAAAGATATGATCGTGAAATATGGGCTTGAAAATAATGACTGGTTGAACCTACTATTTCTTGAAAAAGAACGTTGGGTACCATGTTATTTGTGAACCACATTTTGGGCAGGTAAGTTTGGTTTCTTTTTAAAATGAGAAGATACGTAATATAGTGAATTTAACTCTTAATTTTTTTTTGCAGGTATGTCGTCTACACAAAGGAGTGAGAGCATGAATGCCTTTTTTGATGGGTATGTGCACTCAAAAACAACTTTGATGCAATTTGTTGAACAATATGAGCGTGCATTGAGGAACAAGTGTGAAAAAGAATTCTTAGCTGATTCATTATCATTTGCAAAGACGTTGCCATGTGCCTCTGCATATCCCATCGAGAAACAGCTCCAAACGGTCTACACTATATCCAAGTTCCAAGAATTTAAAACAGAAATGATTGGAAAGATGTACTGTCACATTATGAGTCATGGGAATGGTTCCTTGTATACGGTAGGAGAAGACGTAATTGGAGAGGGATTTCACAAACGGAAGAACTTTAAGGTTGAATTCGAGAGGGAAACAAATTTTGCAAAATGTGAATGTCATCCTTTTGAATTCAGAGGAACGATTTGCAGGTATGTATTACCACGTCTTTAGGTGAGTTTTTTGTTTTATGTAATTTTTACTTAATGGTTTTTCATGTTTGCAGGCATTGCTTGTGCGTACTAATCCAAAACGATGTAAAAGTCCTTCCAGAGACGTATATTCTCAGTAGATGGCGACGAGATATTAAGAGGACTTACACAGTTGTTCGGATGGAATATGATGGATTGCCCCGTACAGTTGAGCAAAGGAGGTATGACATGCTTTGTGCAAAGTTCCAAGAATTTGCCCAGATCGCAGCTGATGATGAGGAACGCACAAAAGATATTGTGGCTTGGATCGATAAACAACTGCTTATCCCATCTCTGAGAAAGGCAAGTGAGGAACGTATTCCCGAGAACATGGAATTGGACAAAACTTTGACCAAAGCTATATTGGACCCTACTTATTCGAAACGAAAAGGGGGCCCCAAGAAAAATAGGCTGAAATCGGTTTTCGAGAATAAAAACAGGAAAAGAAAGCAAGACAAGAAGATTCGAGATGATAACGGTAAGAAAAAAAGTAGTGAACAACGTAAGGTGAACAAGAGCAAGCGGGGAAACCCTGATCAGCCATCCACAACCCTTTTTACAAGCGTTGGTGACATAGGTTGTGAAAATATGCCTACATGGGATTGGCCGGGAGAAGATGTTGTGTATGACCTAACTTGCCTAAATCTTGACCTCAGGCTATGAATCGGTAGACGGCCCATCTTTTTTTGTTAATATTTTGCTATGCATTTGCTCACACATTTTTTGGTAAGTATCACTATGTAATATTTTGTATTCACTACTTACAGATGATGTAAATAAACATATTTTGTGGGCAAGTTGAACAATATGTAAATACTAGTATTGCTATGTAACAGTTTAACATGTTGATGTAATTGTTTTTTGTTCAATACACCAACACTTACTGTCAGGGCGGAAGTGGATATGTTTTGTTGTGTTACTAAGTGTGTGTTCTTGTTTTGTTAAAAAAAGCATTGGTTAATGTGAGGCTGGTAGTTGGTTATGCTATGCTTAATGTCAGGCTGTAAATGTTTTTTGTTCAATACACCAACACTTTCTGTCCGTGTGCTATTGTTTTTTGTTCAATACACAAGCACTAAATGTATGTGTCATACTCATCCTTTGATAGAATATTTAATTCATTCTAACATATTTACATAGGAGTTCAAATATAATCATAAAAAAACAAAATCGTATTTGTTTAAGAAAAAATAGTCATATAAGGGGGTTTTTACATGCTATGTTCAGTACACCTACACTTACTGTCAGTGTGCTATTGTTTCTCTTCAATACACCAACACTAATAGTCTGTGTCCTACTCATCCTGTAAGGAGGTTTTTTTATTCTGTTGAATACACCTACACTTACTGCCAGTGTGCTACTGTTTCTACTCAACACAAAGAGACTTACTGTCCCGGTGCTATTGTTTCTCTTCAATACACCAAGACTAACTGTCCGTGTGCAATTGTTTTGCTTCAATACACCAACACTAATTGCCTGTGTCTTTAATTTCATAAAAAACACCACCAACATTGAATATATTTAGGATAAGGATTTTGTTCAATACAACAACACTGATTGTGATAATAAACTTACAACTTCAGCAGTCATACATGTCATGGAAACAAAAAATTATATGTGTGATCATGCGTAAATACATATTCATACATAGAGTAATCTATACAAGGCTAAAAAAATGCCTTTCATATATTAGCAAGGTGAGATAAGCCGTCATAGTTGTGCGTTAATAAAATATATATATATTCCACAATCTTTAGGCCACTATCATCGATATATACGTGCTGCATATTGCCTACGGAAGTCGTCCACATGTTCGTACGTGCAGTCAGGCAGTAGTGGCAAACCAGCCAATAGGTACTCCGCAAATGCAAGTATCATAACACCACACGCATTTCCATCAGACTGCTGGGGTACATCCTTGGGGAGCTCCACTGCCCATGCCTGGGTACGTCTCTGTTGCTCGGTAGTTTTGACAGTTCGAAAAAGGGGAGGTAGCCTTTCAAGGATTGGACGCACATAGGATTTGCTCTGTGCACTTTTCAAGGAATCATATACCCAAATAGTGGCATTGGGGAAATCAAGCTCTGTTAAAACCCAATGCCAGTTTCTAGCATGGATAGTCATAAAGACCTACACAAATAAATTCATTCACAGAACACATAAGTAAGAACCAGTTCTTTAACCTAGCACGCATTGACTGTGCAAATCTGTTTCATAAGTTTTGCACCTACAGTTATTGACAACAAGAAATTACCTTTTCCATTTGGGTCCAATCCAACTTCCGTAGCATCTTATCCCGTAGTCAAGCATGGTCCGAAGAACTTTTCTGGGTGAGATGATACTATAAAAAAAATATTAGAACTTATCATGTAAAATTAATATGTGTAGTTTTTTTAGAAATAAATACCGTGAACATTGGACCATATAAACATCGGCCTTGCACTCCAATGAGATCAACCCCATCCATCAATAACTCAACAATGGTTTGAACATGCTAATACGAAAGACAAAAATTAGAGCAAGATACTAAATTACTAATGCACTGTTGTAAAGCATAAGCTTGTATTTTTGAAAACTTACATCACTGCTTAACCACGAATCATAGCCCAACAAAGTCCTGAAGAAATGACGGTCAACCTCGTGAACATAGTGACACTGCAGGCTGACTTTTTTTGGATTTTTCTCATCTTCTTCTTCAACCCAACATTTGAATTGTTCCCATTCCCTAGGGGTGACTTGAATGGCTAGAGGATTGCAGTGTACTTTGACCTTCATAGCCATTGTTGGATTGATGTACGGGCTTAGACAGTACCGAGATTTCTTCCGTAGCCTAGTTTCCCGGGCCAAAGGCTAATGTAAAAGTAAGACGTGCCATGGTTATAAGTGAAAAAAAGTGAAACCTTATATAATAAAAGTTGCAAGTACAGTTCACTGTGAAAGATAACAAAAAAATCTACCTTCGTAACAGCAATGGTTTTCGTTGGAGGTTCAACGTCTTCAGCCTATACGTTGGTCACCATTACATACACAAAGTAGACAAAAAACATAAGGTTTTTTGAAAACAAAAGTAAATAGTTGTAAAACTTAATTATTGGATGTGGCTTACTTGCTCATAAACAAACTCTACTGGACCAGGGGATAACACTTGTCTGGCATACTCTTGGGTATCAATAAGGTTGTCCTCATAAAGCTACATAATAATGTCTATTCAATATACATTGCTTATATGGTGAAAAGGTTTAGACTTATGATGATAGAGATGGCATACCCCAAGAATTACCCCTTGCACCTCCGCCGTGGCTTCCTCCAAATCTTTTTGTGGATTCTGCCAAAAAAATGGCAACACTGTTTATTCCAAAAACACAAAGAGATATACATGGGTCGAAAATCACACATAAATATGAAGACAAGGAGTTTCATGTACTAATACCTCAATTCCGGGTGGTGATGGCATTGGAAGTTCGGTTTCCTTTTCCTCAAACGGTTCTCCATCATTTACGACCCTCGACCGCTTTCGATTGTTTCGTTGTCTAATGCTCTCTTCATCCTCTTCCACTTCCAGCCCGACCTCTTCCTTACACTCTTCATGTCCACTATCTTCATCCACCCCCTCATTCTCATCCTCCAAATCCCCCACCACCTCATCTTCTTCAATGTCTTCCTCAACCCGCTCACGATCGGCATCTCCAACCACCTCCTCGTCCTCCTCCGCCTCCACAGTTGCTTGTGTGGTGTTGTGTGTCCTCTTCTTTTTCTTCTTTAACAACACATCTACTTTCTTAGAAAGCGTTTGTATCTTAACGTTAAGGTCTCCAAACTTTGCATCCATAACCTTTCGCATATGCACCACCTCTGAAACAAGATGATGTATCGCATACTCCTGCAAAAGAATAGTACATTAAATAAATCTAAGTCACTACCACCAGGTATTTAAATTAAGGAAGATATATGCTCATGTATCACCAACCAGTTTCTTAGATATGTCTCCCTCATCCTTGCCAAGATTTAGCTCTTTTAGTTGGTTGTATTGAGGGAACTTTTTTGACCCCCATTTCAGAAATGGACAACCAATTATTTCTTCATGAAAGTCTGCAAAAACTCCTTTAAGTTGTGGGAATTGCTCATAAGCCCACACCTAAAAGTATTACAAAAATAATTTATAATTATTATTAAAGTAAATGAAGTACATAAAATACTGTAAAAGATTTATAATTCAGACATACTCACTTGCAACACATAGGGAAAACCATAGAAAGAGAATTTGCATGTCTTCATATTGGCGTTTTCAGCTAGCTTTGACAAGAAACGAGCCGGTTGCCCCTCCATAGCTGCCTTCAGATGGCGTACCGTGAGAAGATATGACTCCCACCCCCAAGGATAAGCGTTGAACTTGTCAACGCTACCTAAGAGGTGAAGGTGAGACATTTCAACACCGGTCCCCTTGTCTCTAGCTAGTAACACGGACTCCGCAAAAAACAGCTTAGCAAATTGAAGGACGTCATCACCCCCATTTTCTTCATCAAGAGCATGAAAACATTTGCGCACATGCGCAAATGTTGTTTTCCCCTTTTCATTGCCCAAAAATTTTCTCCGAATTCTCCCCGAGGCAGAATCCTCATCCTCATCGCCACCATCCTCTCCATAAAGCTTGGTAGAGGGCATTCCAATAATGCGACACCATTCCCCGAAATCAAATTTTAAAATCGAACCACCTATGTTAAAACGTAGTTCATCATCTACCTGTTCTCTTGTGAGGTGCACAAGCAACAGATGGATGAGTTGGCCCGAAAATTGCAATGGTGGGGACTCAAGAAGGTGGCCGAAAGGGGAATCCTTCTTGAACCGATCCAGGTCTGAAGGTGTGAGTTTCTTTTTGATGATGTCAACTGATTTTTGAAGCTCGGAATAGCATGTATACTGTGCTTGGAAGTGGTCTGCATTTACCATTTGCAACGCCATTGTACAGAAACCTACATTTCAAACAAAAAACAAGACAATGTAATACCAAAATTGGGACTGGGCAAATACTAATGTAAACATAACATACTAAATTCGGAAGAAAATGGACCATTGCTCAAGCTTTTACATAAAGTATTATACTTCAAGAAATTATTAAAGTATTGGTGTGAATCTGTTGTACACCTTTGCACAGGCAGTTTCAAAAATTACTACAAGAAATTTTTAAATTGTTAACAAAAATCAACAATTGTCCAGGCATATCTAAATTTGGCAGCAAATAAGTAGAAAATAACATAGCTTTGCATTTAGGGTTTCACTACTGTAAATAATGTTAGAGCAAACAGGTGCAATTGAAAAAGGAGGAGCAATTACCTGACCACCGGCAGATACGGATGAGGACAGCTTTCACCGACGGCAGAGACGATGAGTCCAGACGAGGAGGACACAATCGGTGGCGTAGAGGAGGAGGACAGCTTGCATCGACGGAAGAGACGAGGAGGCCAGACGAGGATGACACAATCGGCGACGAGGGCAGAGACGAGGATGGGAGAGACGCTGGAAGACGATGAACCCTACACCGGAAAGAGGAATTAGGCGAGGATGCAGAGGAATTAGGTGGGGAAATGGGGGTGGGGGATTACTTCGATGGTGTGGGGGGTACTTGCACGTGTAAGGTGGTGGGGGGGGGGGGTTTATTTTGGGGTACAAATTGGGGTAATTTTGGGGTGCAAGTAGCATTATCCTTTTGATTTTTTTGGCATTTAATCATAACCAAATTTTTTATCAAAAAAATCATTATCAAAATTTAATCTCTAATTAAACAAAAATAGTACTATATACTCCATTCGTCCAAAAATGGATGTCACAGGTACTATTATAGTTTTTTCAATAATTTTTGTGATGATCATTTGATAAAATAAGATATTCTTGTTGAATCTTGTTTTATAGAGATTTTAATGTAGTCTTAAATAGTTAAATGATGTAAATTGTACTATTTATTTTTTTACCAATTTACAAATAAAATAATTTCAAAAGAGATAAAATTTTACACACTGTTCGAAATGTAATAGACAAATCGAGGGAGTATATCATATTCTTTTTGTTTCATTTTAAGTTATATGTCAATGTTTACAATATTTGATTGAAGTTATTTTCAAATTAATTTATATGAAAATTGGGAGAGAATTAGTAAATAAAATTTGCACATTTAAAAGTTATATCAAAACTTCTACAAACAAGAGGTGGCATAAGCCTATTATTTTATCAAATGAATAAAAAAATAATTAAACTTTGATCAGGTGAATAAGTAACAAATACAGAGTAACTTAAATTCAGATGGAAGGAGTATTAACTAAATAAAATAATATTTGATATTGTTATATAAGAAAAATCTAACAAAATCATTTTTGTATCAACATCTAATACGTTGTATCAATTTTATTTTATTAATGCTCAATGTTTTTTTGAATTTAACTAAAAAAAAAATCAAAACTAGGCAAATAATTTGAGATGGAGAAAAATGTATTTTAACTATTCCACTTCATCATAAAATAAACTTTTAACTTTCTATTTTCATTCGTTCTAAAATAATTTTTACTTTTCTTAAGGAAAAAATGCATGACTTAAGAAATTCCATGTTTCTCATCAATTTATAACCAAATCTCCAAAAATAACATGGAATTTTTTATCCAAATAAAAGAGGACCCTAGGATGTGTGATTCATTCTCTTTGAATATCATACCCATATAATTTCTAAATATCATAAATTGAATTCTATCTACCCTTAGAACATTTACAATGGGGAGCAAATCTGCCCCGCACCAACTCTTGTCACATCAACATTCTACTAACTTTTCGCTCTGCCCCAAAAACTGCAATGTTTTCGCCTTGAAAACTCGCATCTCCCTTTCTTTTACAATATTCATATTTTTAATTCAAATTTTATATGAATTTAATACAAATATTTAATTATTAATAAAAATAGAAAAATGTTTATTAACAAAAATAAATAAAAAGATTAAGATTAATTAAATATTAATTATTGAAATTAAAAAAATAGAATTAAAATAAAAAAAGTCGAAATCGAATACGTTAAGAAAAAGGGTTTAAAATTAAAAAAATTAAGTTGAAAAAAAAATGGACCAGTGCCAACGAAGGAAGAAGAAGTGGAGCAAAGCAAAAAAACGAATAAGGCCGCGGCGGGCGGGCGGCCGCCGCGATTTTACGCTAGGAATTCAGCCCAGTTGAGCACCGTCGTTAGGGCGTGCATCGGGGCTGCAAATGCACAGCGGCGCGGCTGATTTTGCATTCCATCGCAAATGCCCTTACTAACCGGTTGCTCTCCGCATGATAAGGCTCATAGTGTTTTTCGTGCTAAACTTTTACAAAAAAATATTTCCTACATCCTTATTTAAATTACTTGTTTTGGTTTTTGATCCTTATTTAAATTACTTGTTTTGGTTTTTGATGTTTGACTGCTCTCAAACATTCAAAATATTGTTTATTCAAAACAAAACTGAAAATCAATTTTGAAGTAAGTCTCAAACACCCCATAATTGACATGACTTTGACCTCAATCTTTGCACAGACACACAAAGACAATAACTCTTAGTGCCGTGCGCGTAACTCAACGCAACTGGAGGATGATGTCCTCACTCTTTAATTTAAGAAGACCCTCTAAGAAATAATAATAATAATAATAATAATAATAATAATAATAATAATAATAATAATAATAATAATAAATAAATAATGACATGCTCGCATATGCTCATTCACAAACTTTTCAAAACAAGCATATAGGGAGAGCAGCAAAGGAAGGCAAAAAAAAAAAACATCACACAGTGCAATAATCTTGCAAAAGTTGCCTAGCAAGGTCAAATGCTCCACTTGCCTTGTAAATCAGGTGAAGGTTGTAAGCTGCTTCCCTGCGAAGGTTGCAATAACCAGCCGGCGTTTGGGTTCCGTGGGCCCCCCGAATCTCGTCATACGGGAAGCTTGGAATCGGGCAGTCCTTCTCGGGAGTCGTTAGCACCTTTTCGTAATACGAAGCAGCAAGAGAGACGAGTCCCACTTGTTGGTATGCCCGCGCTACGTTGTACAGTGCTTCTTGGCAGCTTTCGTTCTTCCCTGAGAGCCTCAAGTTGTTGTGCAAGAAGGCCAAACCTTGCAGGATGCATTTGTGCTTACTCTTAAGCCTGATGTCAAATGCCAAGTTTATCAGTGCTGTCCCTATGCAAAGATTGATCAGGGGGCAGTTGGGCTGAACTTTGTAGGCCTCCAGATACTCCCTGGCTGCCACTTGGTACTGACAGATCTCGCCGAACTGGTGCCCTGCAATGATGATGGGTGGGACACAACCTTTCTGTTCTTCACGAATGTTTTGTAGAAATCTGTTGTTTGTGGACATTGTGGCGTCTACTTTTAATAGTGCTTTATAGTAGTAACTCCAAGCTGCCATTTTAGAAGGGTGAAGGCGAAGGAAAGGCCTCAGAAACCTACAACCGCGCTTCGGGTCTTCGATTTTGCAAGCCAATTGTGCACCTATGATTGTTAGGCTATCCCTCCTTTCTTCAGATAATATGTCGGAAGCAAACGCGAGTGTCAATTTGCAAACATCAAATGCCTCTTCGTATCTTCCTAGGGATGCCAGACCTTTGGACAAGTCCACGAAGAGCTGATGATTCTCCACATCTTTTAGGAGTTCGGGCGTCCGGGGTTTCTTCTTGTGCAGTGAAACCCGAGATTCATCATCCGAATCTGAATCTTCACTCTTCCAATCCATACCAGCGGCTAAGGATTTTGTTTTCATCTCTTCTTTCAATAGAGATCTCTTCTGAAGGACCCTCTTTGCCCGGGAAGCCTTTCTTCTATCTTCTACATTAGCCACGGGTTTAAATCCTTGGATTAGATTGTCGGGTTGGTCATTATCTAAGACTTTGACTCTTTCTAGAAGCACTCTCTTCGGGAGCTTTTTATTCTTAGAACCCGTTTTTGGAGCTTCGCAGGTTAGAGATCTGTAAGCTAAGGGATAGAACACATCAACGAATTCTCGAATCATATCTTTAGCGTGATAGATGTTGGCAAGCTTGAGTTGCACTTTCACATCATTCCACCATTCTTCACCTGAGGTTTTCAACCCAAACTCTGGGTTCGGAGGGGAAAGAAGGGTTATTGCTTCGTCATCTCTCCCTCTGTCAAGAAGCATGGAAGCTAAGGTCAGCCGAGTCTCAACACTGTGTTCCAGCAACGATAGAGCTTTGTAGAAAAATGAAATAGCTTCATCCCAATTTCCCAAAGATAAGTAACATCCAGCTATTTTCAAATTTAGATCCCCACTGGTTGATCCCAAATCCCTTTCCAACATCAAGTAGTAATGCAATGCTGATTGATGATGCTCAAGCTTCTTAAACGTGTCTGCAATTTCAATAATTGACTCAGCAAAGTCATTCGCTTTCTCAATGCAGAGTGTCCCAAAAATAACATTTGCGTTACCCAAATCTCCAAGATAAAGGTAGCAGATTCCCGCCTTAGCTGTTATCAGATCAAACAAAGGTTCTCTTCCCGAACAATACCTTTTTATATGTTGAAGAGCTCGAGAATACTCACCATTCTCAATGCATATGCTAGCTAGCATCAAAATGATTCTTGGATCGCCGCCAGTCGGGTAGTGGCCGAGATAACTCTCCAGAGCAACCAGTGAACATTCAACCTTACCACACTGCTTATACAACTCTGCTGCTGCAATGCAGACCTCAGAATGGTCGGGACTAAGGTGATGTATTTGTTCATATAACTTGGCGGCTTTCTCATACTCTTTAAGTTCAGTATAATGTGATGCGCCGAGGAATTTAAGCATTACATCATCGGGGTCAGCAGCAATGGCCTTGGGAAGGTAGTAATTGACAGCAGCAGTGTTCCCTTGATCTAAAAACCAAGAAAGAAGTGACTTCCAGAGAGATGTGTCTTTTGGTCTATTTACACTTTGTGTGGCAAGCATGTAACTACAAATAGCCCTTTTCTTATCACCCATTGCGTTGTAAACGAGGCCAAGCGTATGATAAGCATCGTGTGTTGGGTTGCGCCTGATACATTCAATCAACAATTTTAAAGCCCTTTCGTAATCCCCTGTTGCATAGCTCAGTGTACCCTCGCCTAACAACTTCTTGGTCTCGGGGTCCACGTTGCATCTAGAACCTTTACGCTTTCCTCTCCTCTTCTTCCTCCTCGATTTCCTCCTACTCCCATAATTCATAGCTTCCATGATTTCGTCGAAGCTAGCGCCTAAAAACTCTGCCTCCTTCCATTGTTTCTTCACAGACCCATTGTCTTGGTGACACACATCAGCTTTTCTCTTTTTCTCGGCAAGTGATTCATAGTTAGCATCATCCACTAGGAAGCTAAAAGGTGTAACGTCCTCTTCTGATAAATCCTCTCCACTTTTACCGCTAGACCCCTCATCACATTCATCACCTGATTCTGTTGCCCCCTCACGAGCATCTAAGTCCGCACCATTTGCAGAACCTGCATTCAACACAAGCTTCCCTTTTTCATGTGAGAAACCAGCTTCTTTTGTTTCTTCTCCCATCGAATGCATTTTATCGACAATGTGGATATAGAGGAACTTCAATCTGCACTCTCTAAATCAAATTCCACCTGCAAATTCGTAGCATTTTATTCAGTCAAGAAAAAATAGAACCATAATCAGTCCTCAACCGTGTTCATCAGTCCTCAATAATACAACCGTGTTCATCTAGTTTTCATATCTTGATAGTAATTGATGAAAATCCAAAATTTTCTTCCTCAACCTAGGGGCTAGGGTCAGCTTCCAAAGATTCAAAACCAGCCTTTTCTTTCAATTCTTTCTCGCTCAAAACAGGTTGAGAATGAACAACTACTTCTTCTCATGGTTAGCTTAAAACCGAGGTTCATTTGAGTTCATTTGGAACAACTCCCACTTGAATCAAGTTCCTTAAATTTGGGTTGTTTCTTGAAAAATCTTTGCATCACAGATCACAAGGAATTTATAAGTCAATTGTACTTCCTCCATTCGGATTTAGTTTTCCCATTTCTGAAAATTTATATTGTTAAGAAATGAGTTTAAAATGCTAAATATGACCTTCAAATGAGTGTCACTCATTAATGTCAATAATGCTCATGCCCTATCTCAAGTACTCAATATTTTAGACAATTCATCATAATTTCTTTTTTGAATAAGAAAAGTGGACATCTAATCTCGGGAAAAAGATGAAAACTAAATCCGAGCAGATAGAACAGAGGGAGCAGTGATGAAGAAATACTCAAAGAAAAAGAACAAATGACTTTATCAAAATAACCAAATCACAACTGGACACTCAACAAAGAGAATGCCGGATTCGTGAAGGAGCAAAATTTTATGCTAAAAATTTGAAAGAGCAGAATTATATGCTAAAAACACAGCCTGAGATTCAACAAATCACGATTTGAACAGTCAACAGATCACAATAGAAGCTTCATCAAATCAAAATTTAAATGGTAAATGCTTCGTAATAAACTTTCCAGAATCAACAACTCGCATCCATTACAAAATTTTATTAAAGACTAAATAATTACAAACCTTTTTTTTAGCCAAAGATCTTGTGGTTCAATGGCATCAAGGTGATTCTTCAAGTGGGAGGCCAAGGATTCAATCCCCAGTGTTCGGGATAACTCTGGGTGCTTAAATAGGTTGAAAAAATATGTATGAACATAAATTACAGTTGTAATAGAGATTTTTTAAGGAAGAAATCGGAACCCAAGAGGACCTTCGCCGTCGGGGGTTGCCTTTTCGTCTGTTGCCGCGAGTCTGAGAGAGAGAGAGAGAGGATACGATGAGGGCCCAGGGGAGAGTCGACGACGGAAACTGGATGGAGTGAGGGACTTTCTACGGGCAAAGATAGCGGACCTAGTTGGCATCAGTTTTAGAGTTAGGCAGCTTTTTGAAAAGGCTATTACGATTGCTTTTAGTGTTAGCGTTTTCAGAATTAATCTACATCATTAAAATTTTATCCTAAATATTTATGCTAGTCGAAAACGCTGTTCACAAACAAGGTCAGCGTATTTTTACATAGGGACGGTTGTCACATTGTAGAGGGTGGCGGTGTGTTCAAGTGGAAGTGGGGTGGAGGGGTCTACCCGGGTTTAGGATAAGAACCGTCAATTAATGAACGGAGCACTGTAACCTTCAGGTCATCCCATGATATGAGATTTCATTGTCATGAGAGCTCCTCCATTTTTGCATACTTTCCAAAAGCATGAGCCTTTCTACTTCCTTCTTGTCCATGTAAAAAGATATTCAACTTATTCTTATTATTTAGTCTTGAAAAATCTTCTCATTATTTTTTTTAGTTTTAAAATATCACAATTACTTTCACTTATTTTATTTATTACGCCTTATCAACCCCATTTAAGAGAATATTTATATCATACATCCGGATGTACGGGATTTCCAGTACGTTTAGTAACAGAATACTCAATTTTTAATAACAGAATACTAGCTCATTTTCAAATAACTAAATACTCATTTTTTAGCATAACTAAATTTTATAAAAATGAGTTTCAATCACCCGAAAATGAAATTTAGTTGTTTGAAAATTAGTATTCATTTACAGGTGAATGGATACTCATCGCGGATGTACGGGAAACACCGTACAACCGGTTGTATGATATTTATTGCGCATTTAACATACTCCATCCAATTTAATTAAGGGCATTTTAGTAAACTTTCACATTTGTCAACTCTTCTTAAAGTCTACAAAAAGTCAACTTAAGAACATTTATGACAGACGCATGGAGTTTTACCTATTTTTACTAGACTCAGGTCAGAATATATCAGATCAAAAGAGATTAGATCACACCTTAATAAAATCAAATAAGATCAATCAGATTCAACAAAGAGAACAATGTCTTAGAGTTTATTCTCTTCAATTTATTCTTATTACGAAGTATGTAGTGGTCTGTATTTATTATTAATTCTTATTGAAAACAAATGAAACAAGATGACATTTAATCAAATCAAATCAGAAACAACATTAAATATAGTTAGAGTCCAATCACATTAGATCACACCTTAGTAAATCAGATCATATTCGATCAAATCATACAAATAGAACATGCTCTTAAAACGGCCTATTTGTTGACTTGGAAAGTCTTGAGTTCAAATCATTAGGGGTGAGCATGGTACAATACAAGACGGGATTTAACTCGTACTGATACCGTATCGAATATTTCAATTTGATGTGAGATATTATGTCGTATCGATCTCGATTCAGAAATATCAGTTAAGGACGGTTCAATTTCAGTACAAATCAAGATAAATCCGTACGTATCTACTTTACTTTAAAAAATGTACCTAAACCTTGGTTTTTCAAAAATTAAAAGTACATTAAAATAAAAAAAACATAGAAAACTGCAAAATGAATAATTTAAATGTAAGAAACATTTATGAAACTTAGTTTATACAAAATACTTCACATACAAAATATAATGAATGACAATAAAATACTATTTCAAATATTGTTTAAAATTTTCATAAATATCTAAAGAAAAGTAAGGGGCTGTTTGGCAACTTCTAAATCGGTAAGTGCTGAACCAGTAAGAGGTCTGAACCATTAAGTGCTGAACCAGTAAGAGGTCTGAACCATTAAGAGCTAGTATATTGCTTAACTATTCAGAGGCAAATGTCTGATCAATTCAGATAAGAGGTCTTAACCATTCAGACTCTGTATAATATTTAACCATTCAGAGGCAAATCTCTTAACCATTCAGACATCTGAACCATTAAGAGGCTGAAACAAACAGTCTGAACCATTCAGACATATGAACCATTAAGAGGCTGAAACAAACAGCCCCTAAAACTCAAATAAATACAATCCACACACACGAAAATTTTGAATCAAATTTTTAAAATGAACTTATTGCCTAAAAAAGAAATATAAAAATATTTATATATTTATAATACATTACTATGTAGTGTGAATGTCCGATTCAGGATTTTCGGTATGAGAAATCACTTCGTGTTGCTCTCATATACCAAACTGATTGTTCAGAGCTCGATTAGTTTTTTTCAATATTTTTCGATTCGGTTTTTATGGTTCTTTCAGGATCAGTTCAGTACTTGCCACCCATACGAGTCACTATGGAGCCGAGATAGAAGATATTTCTATCAATGAACCTCTAGTCCCCAAGATCCTCTTTGATTGGATCAATTACGGATGTGTTCCATTAGTAGCTAGGAAGCTTGGATCTACTAAAAGGCGACTGAAACTTGATGCTTAGTGAAGGAGGAACAACCTAAATCAATCAGACGCTATGTGAAGCTGACCAATCAGTATATGATGACTTTTTGTGCACAGACACAAGTTGGGAAACCTAATGTATACAAAGGTTTTTTTGTCACTTGTGACTAGACCATAAAACTTATCCTGGGCCTACAATCATAAGCTCGAGTACGTTTTTACTTGAGCTGATTTCTTGACAACGTTTTACGTAAATAAGACTTAATTCATGTGTGGGACTAAAAGATTACTAAAAAGAATATACTGCACATACTAAAACTAGCATTACTGCACAATCGCAAAAATAATACTACCTCCGTCCCAGAGTATTTGTCCACTTTTATTTTTACACACCATTCAATACACTTCTTTAATCCATTTTATCTTGTAATTTGTATATTAAAAAATTATAGAAATTATATATTAATAATCTATATGTTAAGACCAATCAAACAAGATCATACATGACTATATTTAGTCTTACACATTGAGAGAATTTGATGAGTCAAAATGATTAGATGAACAGTTCCAAAAGTCAAAACTGGACGAATACTCCGGGACGGAGGGAGTATGCACTATATAGTAGCATTAATGCACGGTCGTGAAAGCAGAATGCATCGAATAACAACGTTATTGTACAGTCGGAGATACTAAGAACTAGCATTGCTGACCTCTCGTGAATGTAGTGCCTTAGAGATTATCAAGGCATAGATTAGAAACTTAAAAAAAAGAGAGATAAAAATAGAACTGAAAATATGAAATGCACCGAAATAAGACTAAATTTAAGTCCTTTTTGTGTTACAATTAAAAAAGGTTATATTCGTGCAAATATTCCATGCTTTAGTTCCATTTGGAATAATTTTCTCAATTACTTATCAAAAGCAAAAAACCACTAACACGAGTACACGACGTGGGAATAGCTACGGAGTAATAGCCAATTTGACTTCGCTCGAGAACAACGTCTATGATTCACTTTAACATTTCGAATACTTTTTAAACAACACAAATTAACGGAGAAAATGATGGTAAAAACTATCATTGGATAACAATTTCAAAATGATAAAACTAAACTCTGAAGCTAATGTCAAACATAACCTATATCTCTATAAACTAACTGATAGAATTTAGGATGGGTATGGACAATTGGATTGGACAATAAAACACTTGGGTTGAACCACATTAAAAGATTGAATTCAATCGATTAGTTAGTTCAACTCAAGGGCTTATATACCGGTTTATTTTCTGTTCAAGTTCCGATGTGGGATACTCTTTAACACTCCCCCTCAAGTGGACAACCGGGCCATTTTGAATCTAACCGGTTGACCACTTGCAAATGGACTCCCATCCCCTTGATTTTTTTTGAGCGCCAACACCTAAATGACCACGAGCCACTGGGTATGGACTTCCAGACGAGCAATCGTGTTAAACGGGCCACAGGTCGTTGGACATACTCCATACGGACAACTGGGCTAAAGACTAATGGGCCGCTAGGAATGAACATCTAGACGGACACCTTGACAAACGAGGTGGGCTAAAACCTGCTTTGATACCATGATAGAATTTAGGATGGGTATGGACAATTGGATTGGGCAATAAAACACTTGGGTTGAACCACATTAAAAGATTGAATCCAATCGATTAGTTAGTTCAACTCAAGGGCTTATATACCGGTTTATTTTCTCTTCAAGTTTCGATGTGGGATACTCTTTAACACTAACAATAGAAACAACATGGAACAAAATTTACTAGTGCACTGGGTAGCACTCTGCCCCAATATATGTTGCTGACTTTGACTTGATACATTGATAAAGTAACATTGAAACTTATTCATATAAGAGATAAACAATATGAGCTATAGTATTTTTTTTGGGGGGTACAATATGAGCTATAGTATGTTTTCTACAAAAGAGAATAAACAAGATATATATAAGAGGACAGACAAGATAAATCATTAACCCTCTCCCTATTATGTAAGTGCCTTATTGAGATGACTTAGAAATCACACATAGTGATCTGGGAAAAAAATAGCAATTTTACACAAACACCCTCACTCACTCTCTCTCTCTGACACGTGTGTGGACTTCACTCTTGTGGGACCCACACAGATGTGAGAGAGGGCGCGAGAGAGAGTGTTCTGGAGGCGTGTATGTATCATTTTTTTAAAATAAAAGTACACGAAAAGAAAACAGTGAAGCAAAAAAGCTCATTTGCTGCAGCTATGAATAGAAGGAACAATGTGCTATCCTCCAAACAACTCCTCCAACACATTGCATGCATAGAGGTAAATAAGAAGAATATATACACATACTTGGAGCAGGAGGTTCTTCGATCGTCCCATCATAATGTGCGATCTTGATGATGAAATGCGACCCCGAGACAAGGAATTGTTGCATAGTGGCATCCAAACAATTGCAAGAACCCACGGATGCGCGGTTATCCATTTCAATTCCTTGGCAATTTATACTTGGCTCACTTTGATTAGTAGCTCCTTGTTTGGCTTAGGGGGTCATAATCATATGCATCGCCGGGCTTGATGAACCGCCCCTTCACACGCCTCCTCACATCTGCTCTGGCCTTACGAGAAGCATACCTCACTTGCTTTTCAAACCTGTGTCATTTTTTTTCCAACAAACTTTTGGGTTGTGTTAAAAACTTCAAAGTAAGTGGTCATTGTTTTCAGGTCTGTCATGAACTAGTTGCTTGTTTCAACATGATATTCTGCTGTGATACTATGAGGGTGTTTGAGGTTGCGTTTAAAAACTGCTTATGAGCTTTTGCTTCATTAAAATATTGTTTGTCGTGTTTGCCAATCTACTTCTGCTTATGAATTATGACTTCTGCAGTCTAAAATGGGTTCTGGAAGTGCTTTTAAGCAAAGTTAAAAATATCTAGTTTACGCTTCTACTTAAAACTTCTGCATTTTCAACAATTTATCACACTCCAAACACCATCTAAATTAGGAAATGCAATAGACATTTAGGGCTTGTTTGGCTTCATTTTTCTTTTTGGTTGATTCAGAATTAGTTGATTTTGGATAATCAAGCCATTGATTACTTGTGAAAACCAGATTCTATAATGTGCTGGGATGAGAATGTGCAGAACCAGCTTTTCTGAAAATCAAAGCCAAGTGACTCCTTAGACACGAAACAAGAAATGAGAGAAAAATGGCGATTCTTACTTGCGAGTTTTCTTCTTTTCTTTGTAGCGCAATACAGCAACGGTCCTACTACTAGTACTAGTTAAGGGCAGGTCTCCCAATGAGGAAGTTCCGCAGTCCTGGTGATCTCCGCCACCGCCGCCGCCACTACTCTCTCCTGTGGCATTTGAGAATGACATCTTGTTGTTGGACTGTCCAAAGCACGCGTTGGGTGGTTCGGTCCAGCAGCAGCTCATGATGGAATCTCCAGATATCGCCTGAATTGGATTCACCTGTCTCCCCATTGATGACCCCTGCCATACATCAACCAGCTCAATATTGTCCATAAAACATAACGGATAGATTTGAGACATAATATGATCTTCAAGGGTACTTTGGGTAATTCATCGTCATCTCTTAACCAGATAAAGTAAGTGGACAGTGAATTCCTGGTATCCCAACAAAGGAAAAAGTAGACAACTAAATTTGGATGGAGGAGTATATGAGAAGATGAGTATATGGATGGACAGTGAGACATTAGAGCAACCTCAACAGCACTCACACCCTTACAACTGGAATGAGCAAAGTCCTCAGTCTCAAACAGGTCATCGATCCCTTGGTTCTCCGGATCATTAAATGACATCCCAAACAGCTCTTCATAATTTTCATCCACATTGAAATCCCCACAGAAGTCATCATCCTCGAACACGCTTCTTGGTTCTTTGGTTCCCGGATTGCAGACCTGATATATATATTGTGCAACTATGTAAATAAGGAGCTAAAGTGACTCTCAACAAGTAAAGAAATAGAGTAGCACGAGATTTTCGCGTTCCCTATTCTTGCAATGACATCACAACACACCTATTTTGTTAAGTCACCTCACGTCAGATAAATATATATTAACAAGGGGTACTCCTCTTAGCTGACTTTTAGTGAGGAGTCTTGAATATTAATGGCAACAACAACAAACTTAGTAAAACCCCACAAAAGTAGGGCCTGGGGAGGGTGTGTGTCCGCCAACCTTACCCTATTATGAAATAGAGAGGTTGTTTCTAAGAGAACCCAAGCCGATTGTTAATGACAACAAGAACAATAATAAATCTAGTAAAATCTCACAAAAAGTAGGATCCATAAAGGGTGAGCCTACGCAGACCATACCTCTACAATGAAGTATAAAGGTTGTTTCCAAAGGACCACAAGCCAAATACCAATGCCAAAATCATAAATTACCTTTGGGGAGGAGGGATATGTGGATCCAATTGGGAGTTCCATGGCGTGTAGCTTCTTGTCAATGGTTTCCAAAGATGCCCCCACCCTATTGGGGAGCAAATTTACAGTTGGTTCGCTTCCCCCTCCTTCTGGAACTCGGGCAACGTGGTGACTATCGGTGATGCTCATCGAACCCATTCCCTGTTCACAAGTGGAATCCCCGACCGAAGGGAAATCCAAGAGGAATGACCATATGGTGGAGAGTTGGGCAGCTGAAGGGCAGCCCGAATAGCAGCTGACCGCTTGCCTCTTGTGAGAGGAGTTATTAGGGTGGCCTGCCCAGTCACAGTTCTGGCAAAGAGATATCCTCTCCTCTGCGCACCTAACCACAGAGGGCTGTGACGTGCATCTCTCACACAAAAGTGTCCTCGAATGGCGCTGCGACAGCGCATTTGCAGAGTGTACATTTCGGTCACACGATAAGCACAAACTTGCTGCATCGGACCGACAGTATACCACCGATCTCTGCTCCCCACAGAACTCACACATGTATCCCATTCTCTCCCTCAACAAACCATCTTTCACATCTCTTCACCTAAAACACATTTTCCCTTTATGATTGAGCATTTTAATCACAAACAAAGCCCTATTATTGTTCCAAATCATCATAATCTGCAGCAAAACCACAATTTATTCTTTCCTAACAAAAAAGAACACATAAGTAAACCTCCTTTCGCTGGGCCGATTTAACAACAAACCCAGTAAAATCCCGCAAAAACCTGGGTCTAGGGAGGGTGCGGACATGCAGACCTTACCCCAGTCGGAAGTAGAACTGTTTCAAAGAGACCCCACAAATATAATACAGAAAAAATGTCATAAATAAACAAAAGCTAAAGTAAATTATCTAACAAAATAACATAATGAAAGAAGATACGGAGTATAATAATTATAATAAAAAGATCACTCGTTTGTGATTTGAAGAAGAAACAAGGAATAAAGCTCTTCCTCAAAACCAAAAATACATAAAATCTAGAATTTTTTTAAAAAAAAAAAACCTCTGAGAAAATCCCACAAAAAACTGCTTTATGATTTTGCATGAGCTCTGGAATTCTTCAAGAAATGTACTTTTTCATCTATCAGCCAAACAGATCAATCAATGATCACAAACAACCTGGAGCACAGAAAAGATGAGAAAAAAAGTCAAAATATAACTGTCTTACCTACTGTAACTGTGGAACTGGGCAGTGAAAAGGTACAGTAAAACAGAGGCTATTCTGGGTAAAACCTCCCTCCTCCTCTTGGCAACAAACTTTCAGGGCTGAAAGACTCAGAATAAAATAAAAACCCTAAGAACAGAACAGAGAGATCAAAAAAGGCCTTTCCGAAATCTCTCAGCTCTGCACTTTTGTCTGGGAGTTGTTGAAATGTGAGCGTTGGATAATTATTACAGAATTAAATTACAATATTAAATACAATAAGCTGATTAAATATTGAAAAAATAAAGAAAATAGAAAAAAAAAACCTAAAAACAGAGAAGATTAAGGTGTAAGAGTGGGTCTCTGTCAATTTCAAATTTCACCAAGAAATGGCAAAGTTAGGCCCCACTTTTTTGTTCTTGCACTTTTTTAGTCTGAAAATGGACAAATCTAATGGTGGATTAGAGTTAGATTAGCGCATTAATTGCGTCTGTCCTGTACTATCTTAAGATATTTTTGCCAGAATTCTTAAAATTAATAATAATAATAATAATGTCACTGCACAAAATCTATACATACTGCCGTATTTCATTTATAGAAAGGATACCCATATGGATGATCTAATTGATGGAATCATAAATAAATTGAATTAGTAATTTAAGAGGAATGATCTTGGCTTGGCTTGGCTTAGCTTAGCTTAGCTATCAGCGGCCCCTATTCTCACGAGCCTAAACCTTTGATCGAACAGTTGAGAGGTCGGTGGATTAAGGTTTGACCGAATCCAACGAGCTTGATTGAATTCTTCCCCGAGTCCTAGGAAAAGTAAAAGTACACGAGGGTTGAGTTCATGAGGGGAGAGACATGCGGAGTATTAAAAAGAATTTCCTACTTTGATTAATGTGCAAAATTTCATGTATTTTAAAATGATTTTATTTACAAACTGGTAAAGAAATATCACATAAAAAAATTATATTTAAAAACTACATCGAAAACTCTACAAAACAAGAGATAATAAGAATATTTTATTTTATCAAATGATCAATGAAAACATGCAAACAAATAAGAGTTATCGAGAGGCCGTAATAGTAAACAGGAAAGACTTTTTGGGACGGAGGGAGTACTATATTATAATAAAATTAATTAATGGTACTTAAATTTTCTTTTAAAAGGATTAAAACGTTGTTATTACATGCTTTTGTTAGCGTCTCGATGGCTCCTTTCGGTCGATTTGGTGGAGAAAATCAATTTCTAAAATTATCATACACTGGTTGGTTCATATTTTGAAAATCCAAGGTGGTTGTGGCTCATCGATGATGGATGATGTTTTAACATGATCTAAATGCATAACAAATCAAGATATCGATCAAACCTTCGGACTTTTTGGATTCTTAGATCTTGATCTCAATTTCGTTGTGACGGGGAAAGTGTGGTGGTGGTGGTGGCAGTGGCAGTGTGACAGAGAAGATGACAATGTAGTGGGGTGGTGGTAGTATGCCAATAGAGTTAGCAGTGTGGTGGCGGAGGGTGACACTGTGGGGCGCTCATGGTGGCTGTGGGGGCGGGGGCGAATTGTGATAGTGTGGTGACAGAGCTGACAATGTGACGATGAAAGGTGGTAGTGTGGTAGTGGATAATGACAGTGTAGCGAAAGAGTTGAAAGTGTCTCAGCATTTCCTAGTCAAGTATGTGCACTACTTTGTGTCAAAGATGAAGATTGTAAATTTATTTAGAGTTTGGTCCAAACATATAATAATGACTTGACCCCCAACACAAGAGCCCATTCATGCATCATATTCTTACACCTTAACCTAATTTATAAACTTGCCTTAATGAGTTTCCGAGTGCTCCTATATATTGTGTTGGTGTGTGCCTTGTGTTTGATTGTTTAAAATAGTGAGAGCATCTTCTCTTCCTCTTATGTGTGAGTTGTATTACTCTGTATGTTCATCTCTGTTCTTCTCCGTGTGGAGTGATGTGCTGCTTTTTGGTACTTAAGTAGTGCACAACTACGGACCAATTTTACAAGTGACTTGAGCCAAATTAGAATAAATAAATACACATAACTTAAACTATATATTTTATTTTAACATTTTCATTCATTTACATTTGTAAGTTTATTATGCACATATATTAAACACACCAAGAGGAGTGTATTCAATTCAGATTTTAAAAGATTTTAAAAATTTGTTTAGAATCCATGGATTATGTAAAAGCCGTAGATTATTTCAAGTCCATAAAAAATTAGATACTTGGTCCGTCCCTGAGTGTTGTCCACTTTTGACTTTTGGAACTGTTCATCTAAGCACTTTGACTCATCAAATTCTCTCAATGTGTAAGCCTAAAAATAGTCATGTGTGATCTTGTTTGATTCGTCTTAACATATAGATTATTAATATATAATTTTTATAATTTTTTAATATACAAATTACAAGATAAAATGGATTAAAGAAGTGCATTGGATGGTATGCAAAAATGAAAGTGGACAAACACTCAGGGACGGAGGGAGTATGTTTTATGTATTTTATTAGCATGGTTTTAAATTATTTCTTTACACTAATAATTCTATTGCAATATAGTATATGTTCATACATTCCCAATCTATTAAAAATTGTAAAGTCACACACAAGTCGCATTAGGAATCAAACACGTGACCTCTCATTTGAGAGAGCCATAGCAGTGCCATTGGACTACAAGGTCCTTGGCTTTTATATGATTCTATTAAATTGTTTATAATTTGGATTGTTTTAAAAAAAAATTTATATTGTTCTAACATCAATAATTGCTTATAAAATTGAACAAAAAATAAAAATAATATACTTTAATAAAATAATTATAATATTTTAGATAATCATTATTATCATTAATTTATTAGCAAAAAAGTAGTATATTGATCACTGTCATAAGCAATAAAATTATTTTACAACCAAAAGCATTATTATCTCTAAACAATTTTTTATGTATGTCAAAATCCATCAATGAAATTTTAAAGACATCGAAAAGAACACATTACGCCAAATCCAAAGATAGTTTAAAAATAAAATTATTAAACATAGTCTTCCATTTTAACTTCATTATCATCAAAATCCTAGTGATTCTCCTCATTCATTTGATGCTCGTTAGCATCATTTTATTGTCAATGAGCACATATAGCTTCAACAATGCTATGTCTCCAAGTGTTAGCTTCTGTTCTTTGCAGTATTTGGGTTTGAGAAGGTATCTCAAAATATTCTTCCTCCATGTCTAGAGAACGCCCTACAATGGCAAAAATTTAACAATTAGGGATCAAATGTCAGCAAATAACCATCTAAGGAACATAAAATTAGTAATTTAGATCAGTTTTTTTTTTCAAATTCAGCATTCTTCTATGGAGTAGTAGATGGAATGGAGAATAAATAGTTATATAGGGAATCTTTTTAAAACATTTAGATAAGTTTAAACAATTTAAAAATTAACAAATACAAGCAAAAAACAAATTACATTACAAACAGAAATAAACAAATTCAAGTACGAATTTATTATTAATACTTCGCATATAAACAAACTAACGAAGTTTATTATCATCATATGATGATGATAATAACAACAACAACAACAACAACAATAATAATAATCACAACAACAACAATAACAACTAAATCACTATTGGAAGCGATTGGAAAAAAATGGAAGAACCTAGGAGTCGAAGATACTTGAGGAAGTTGGTAAAAATTGAAATTTTTAAAAAAATCGAAAGAAGTTGGAAAAAAATCAAAAGAAGTTAGAAGAAACTGGAAAGTCCATGAGTGTTTGTCAAAATTTAACTTTTTGTAGTCAAATTTGACAAACTTTAACCATTAATTAAATAAAATTGATGTTAAATATTGATATACAAATAAATTTATTAGATTTATGTTGTATAATACTTTCAAAATATTACTTTATTTAATAAATATACTACTCCCTCCGTCCGCCTAATATGTTCTCATTTTGACTTTTGGTGGTTTTTAAGAAGAGTTGAAAAAAGGTGAAAGTTTACCATAATACCCTTAATGAAAAATGGGTGGAGTGTATTAAATGAGGTGGGTGAGGTGTAATAAATAAAATAAGTGGGGGTAGTTGTGGTATTTTACTTGTTAAAAAATGAAATGAAAAGATCTATTGTGGACAAAAAAAAGGGCTATTGGAAAGATCTATGGTGGACAGAGGGAGTATATAGTTTTAATTTAGTTATAAGTCAAAGGGTAATCTTGTCAATTGCAAAAAATTAAAGCTGAACAAATACTCTGGTACGAAGATGGTAAATAGTTATGATTTTTGAATGAGACAAAATTCTTAGGTATCCCAAACTAAAAAAAGTTTGATAAAAAAACATAGGACCAATTATATTTATTGAGAAACATTTGTCATACATATGAATTATGTAACATACAAGGTTAAACGACGGTTAGTACTGGATGAAGGTGGAAGGAACTCTAGAAGTGAAGGGTACTCGGACACCCACCCTCAAAGAAAGAGATGTACATACACGATGAGCAGGGTGAGGAATTTGGGGTTTTCTTTGGGGGAGGATCTAAGAATGGTTTTGGAATTGACGGTGGAGCTAAAAGCTTTCTTGGATCATATGGAGATGTGGAGACCCATTGGTCTCCCTTTGCTTTGAATGGCAAATCTTTGGTTGGGTAGTGGGTGGGTTCGAGAGGGCAAATGAGTCAATCTTACACATTAGTTTACCATAAAATGGAAGTAGACGAAAAGTGAGACCGGTCAAAAAGGAAAAATGGATAAAAACACTCGTACGGAGAGAGAGTAAGATGTAACGATAGCCATGTAGGGAACTATGTAGTAATACAATAAAATGACAATACATTGCTTTTAAAGCACTAATGCAGCTTTGTAAAAGAACAGACCTGCTTGCCATGTTCAAACAAAAGCAACACGTCTCCTAACCAAATAATAAAATTAACCTGCAAGGAAAATACAGGGAAGAGAAATGAATTCTGTTTGAAACGGGAGAAGGGAAAATGTTAGAAAATCGAAATAAAGATGCAAAAGCACCACGTTCACATTTAGGCGCAGTTTGGCAAGAAGTAATGAGGCAAAAGGTAATCAAATTCACTGTGTAATGTTGATTTACATTAAAAAAAATTGATTGATTGCAATATTGCCTTATCAAACTAGACTTTAGAGAGTCAGAGACTACCATTATGCTTCTACAAGGAAGATTCGGGGTTGGTTTCCGGTTTTTGGCGTTCAGGAAGA